GGGATTGGTTACATTTCACTTAATTGCTGTGTCATGTGCTCCACTGTTTATGGGTAAATGTATACAAGGGTCACGTTCACTGTTGTCTAACACTGAACACATTCAAGCAGGAGATTTGTGACTCAGATAAATTTAAATGGAACAAATTGTGATATTTTACTATTGTAAAACTTTATAATCTTACTTTAACATAACAGATTTTTTTTCAGCAAGTGTGCATGACTTGAACATTCTATTTATCAAATACTGTAATTCTGACATCTGTGATGTTTATAAAAAAAAAAAAAACAATACCGCTGATAATATGAAATTTTTGAGAAAAAAAAACATATTTCTATTTTCTAAAAAAATATGGACATTAGCACATGTTATCTGAATGTAGAGTAATACTTATACTACTAAAAATATATGCCAAACTAGGGGCGTACTCACACTATGCTATGCGAACCCTGCCCAGGCCCGTTTCCCAGATCCTTTGAGAAGTGTGAGTGCTCTGAATCAGGCTCAGGCACAGTTCACTTGGCCGGCCCTGGCCCGGTTGGAGAGCCAACCTCCCGCTCTCCTTCGGGAAGCCAATACGGAAGTAACTGAAACTGCAATTAATCGAAATTCCGCTAGTGCTGGCTCCATAATACAGCAAATGTCAATTGAGCCCACTGTTAGAATGGCCAACTTTACAGCCTTGTACAAAGAACGATTTTGGTTCATATAGCTAATATTACCCTTTATGACAACTGTGAGGGGGTGAATTTATTTTATATCTCATCCGTTTCCTTTATATTAGGCTATATTAGGTTTGCATAATTAAGGGCATGGCCACTTGAGTGACAGCTAGGTCCCGCTGGTCGCAGTCACTTCACCTCAGCTGACTCCGGCAGATTAGCTGCTGAACTCTGCATTTTTGTGTTGTTTTATGTGGCTTTATACTGTCAGTTGCCTTATGGTTTTTATTTCTTACAACTATCAGATAATATGGGATGCTTTGTGCACTTAATTGTGCTCACAAACCATTCACGTGGCCTCTGTTTCCCATGTGAGTAAAGTTATATACTTATACACCTTCTCTATAAATGTATTTGTTTTATTTGAGATAATTTATCATTTATATTTTTCTTTAGACCTGTAAAGCACTCCAGAATCTGACAGATTGGTTAGCTGTAGGCTCTAGAACAGTCATCTGAAGCGTTATCATACATTGTTATGCTGGATTTCATCAATAGCCTTGCATTTACTAACACAGACTATATCTGAAGTGTTTCTAAGTCATTTGCATTTTCCTCCTGTAGAAAAACGTCATAAGAACAATGTTTGGTGGCTCAATGTATTAGAGAGCTTTTAAAGGTCTAAACACTTAATTGATCCAGTGTAGTGTACAGCCAAGCACATGTGGTCAGAACACAAACGAGTCACAGGTAATAAAGTATTAAGCGTTTTCATAAAGTAAAGTCTGTCTAAGCCAGGTCCAAGCAAAATGCCAGCAAGTGTCTGTAGCTCTGCTCACTCTCCGCATCTTTGTCCTTGTTTGGTATCCTGCCGTGGGTGCGATGATGCACGAACAAAATGGCGACAGTTAGCCGCGCCTACTTGTGGATTCTTTAGCAGTGTTCAGAAACCTATGGGTGACGTCACAGATACTGCTCCATATATTTTACAGTCTATGGCCACAGCGCAGTTCACTTGTGCTTTGGCGTGGTATGCTTGTGTGTGAGTGCAAACTGTCAGTTCGCAAACTGTCGTAGATTATTAAAGACGCAAACCCCTCACTGCACAGCTACACTTTTAGCAAACCTCCTAATTCCTGGTAAGCATGAGGACTTTATGATTGTTTATGAGTGTCAAAAGTGGATAATCTATTTGGTGAAATATTTGACTGCTTGTCACTGCATATTTAACGACTTCAATTATAGAACTAAAGAAATCTCCACTATGCTGAGTGAAAGTGCTTACTGAACAGCGCATCATCGATGACGTAAGCGTGCCCAGGCCCGAATGTATTGTGGGTGCACGTCGTCGGGGGAGACGGGAGAGGGGACAAGCATGCTTTGGCCCGATTCAAGGCAACTGTACATAGTGTGAGTCTCCCCTAAGATACCGATCACACAGAGTGCACTTATACATTTCAAAAACATGAGGCACAACACACTGCCTTTTTTGTTTACAAGGAAAAGGAGTATGGTGCACCTTTTTTGTCACTATGTCACTAGGTAACAACTAAATCAGCTGTGAGTGACGTAACATGCATTTTCTGCTCAGAGTTGACTTTTTTCAACTGCAAGCACACAGGGCACAGCGGCAAAAACGCAAGGCGCAGCAGACGGTTAAAGCCTCATGCCTCATTCACACTAGCAGCAACTTTGTAGTTGCCTGCTGCTCTAGGTGGCGACCTGCTGCAAACGCAGGTCTGTGTAGTTCTAAAGCACGAATACAAGAGTGGATCACGTGAACTCTACTGGTGCTCATATTGGCTGTCGCTCAAGAAAGTTGCTCTTCATTTGCATAAAGTTAAAGAATTCTCAACTCGCTCGACACACCCACCAGGTCGCCAACCAAAGATTTATACACTAGATATCGCATACGGACCCTGAGCATGTGTCAATAGTGCCACCACATTTGTACAGTGCTCCCAGGACAAATGTCATTCAACCTTACTTGTTAAGACAGTGTGCCAATGTGAAGATGCTGGACTTTAGCGCTGTGTACGGATGTAGTAATGAGCAAACAAAGAAAACAGAAAGAAACCTGTAATATTGTTGGCTAATTACTTAAGTGAATAAATTGCTCATAATGGAGATTCATTCACAAACGAATCGCTCCCTCCGTTAGAATGAAAAGTGAAAGCGGGAGAAGGGGTGTGTTTCAGGACACGAATTACATCAAATTTAACAGGAAGGTAGGAAAATACATTTGCATGCACACAAACACATGCTCTTTGTCGGCAATGCTGTGAGCTCACTTATCCATCGATGTAGAAAAATAATGTAAAATTATAATTTTCGTAATTAAAAAAAATATTTGTGTACTGACCACCTGGAAAACTCCCGATCGTAGATATACTGTATGTATATATGTGTGTTTATCTATGGCTCTGGATGACCAGTCCTCCACTGCACCTTTATCCTGCATTAATTTGAAAGGAGCGCTACCCTGTACTACAATGGCGGCTCTATTGACATATTCCTTTCAATAGGCAACAACAGTGTAGGCGACATCTAATGTAAACATCTATGGTCGCCAACGGTCAGTGTTATCATCACTCTCGCAGACAGAGGTCACCGGAAGTCGCTCGCTCTCCGTTGAAAAAAGCTTGTCGCTTTGCTTTATGTCTCATTCACACTAGCAGCGACTTTATAGCTGCCTGTTGTTCTGGGTGATCTGCTGCAAACACCTATAGCATGGAGAATACTACCAGCCTCTGCAGGAGCTGAGAGAAGATCACGTGAGCTCTACTGGGCTCCTATTGGCTGTTGCTCAAGAAAGTTGCTCTTCATTTGCATAAAGTTTAAGGATACTCAACTTTGTCGTGTCGCTTGACACACCCACTTGGTCGCCAACTGTCACTGTCGCTCATGTAGACGGAGATCATTCACTCTCCATTGAAATAAACAGGGACTTGTTGCTTTGCTGCTACAAGTCGCTTGTATTGTGAATAAAATGCGAGGCGTACAGGGCGCAGCACGCAAAACACTCATGGCTGTAAGTAAACCATTCAAAACATGAACCTCTCAACACAAAAAGCGAGTTCGGTGTTATTGGCTGTGAAGACTGTTATGATATTTATGATTTGTTAAACCCAAGCTCATTCTGAAAATGTAGTTTCTGGAGACCACGAAATACGTCCCGGGAGTTTCTTTTAAGCGAACGCTACGGGGCGGTATGAAGCTGTTCGCTTTCTTGCTTACCGGCTGACCGATTACCTCCGTGTGGAGGGCTTTCCCGCCGCAATCAGTTTGTCCAGTCAGCTCATCATGTGCGTCGACGGACTTCAGATGCAAAGAGGAGGAGTTGACCACAGTGATCGGGTTCGATTCCGGGGAAGAGCAGTTCCAGAAATCAGGTAAGACAAAAACAGAATCCAAAAAAATAAAGTGAACGAGTTCATAACAGGGTGAGAAGGTGGTGAAATCCAAAAACGTGGTGAAAAAAACAGATGAGGGATTTTCTTTACTAGATGGCTTTTCTAAATTGTTGCTCGGGTTTAGGGAAGTGAGCGGGTGGGCGGGTCAATCGGTAAAACTGGTTGGGTTTAGGGAAGGAAGCGGATGGGTCAGCCGATTGGCCGGTCGCGCAGTCAATCATTCAGTCAGTCAGACACCGGCCTCTGGTGGGTTGACGCGAGAACAACGTGGGCATGAACGGCACTCACGAGAGACATTCGAGATACGAAAAAGCGCACACATCGGCCTCTTGTGGATTCGCAAAAACAAAAACTGCAAAAATACGTACCTCCCGGGACGTATTTCGCGGTCTCCAGAAATGTCCACGGGACTACATTTTCAGAATGAGCCTGGGTTGAATATGTTATGATATAAAGTACTGATATTTAGAGTTTTGATTTATTTATTGAATTATTAATTTGACTAATTAGTCCTTTTTGACACAGAATCATCATCTGTATTGGCTTTACAGTGTTGCATAATATTTCACAAAAAAAAAATTGTTCATTGGACAATAGTCATTTAAATGTAATGAATTATTCTGTTTTGCTACAGTATAAAACTGTATACTGTGACTTTAAAATGATATACAGTAGGACAATGTTATTTAATTTACCATCAAAAACCAAGCTTGTATTCATTTTACAGTTAACATCTGCATTTTTTTTGTAAGACCTTCCTGGAATTTGTGTACAGTGTGTGGTCCATGTGGTTTCAGAATGGTGTGAAAAAGTACACCCAAAAATCTTTTTTATGAGAACTGAGGCTTACAAACTGTAAAACAGCAATAAAACTCCAAACTAAGGAGAGTTTTTGGTGGATTATGGGAGAAGCAGAGGGACTTACAAGGCAGGATTTCCCTGTATCTGTTCTTTTCCCGGTTTTCAGGTGCTTTTCCAACCAGGCAGTTGTCTGAAGGGTTTAAATGCTCCAAAGCCTATAAAAACAGCCATAGTATCATTAAATGTCAGACATTAAGTTACCTTCAAAACGATAAACCAAAATAATATTTCTGAAAACTATATATAGATGTGTCTGCTTCTATAAAACCATAACATTCAATATATTTAAAGGGCCAGTTCACACAGAATTAAAAATTATGTCATAATGTACTCGTTTCAAACACATTTAAGTTTTCTTTTGAATGCATTTTAATGAATGTTGGAAACTGGAAGCCATTAAGTTCCATTTCCCACCACTGTAGAATGGCTACATGTTATCAACATTCAACAAAATACCTTCAATCATGTTCAACAACAACAACAACAAAAATTCACTCATTCACTCAATTGAGGGTCAGTAAATGTGTTATTTGTGGGTAAACTATTGCTTTAAGTAATGTGCTATATGCTTTATATATACATTATACTGATGCTGACCAGAACTTACCATAAACTCTTTGACCAGATCTTGCTTTTCTAGCTGCTCGAGGGCCTGGATGAGGGCTTTGACCCTGGAGCCGGTGTACTGCCCATTCTTAGGAGGAGAAATCACTGCAAGACTGGAAAGCTCCTCTTCTGACACGATTGGCCGACCTGGATGTATTGCAGATTGTTTTAGTTTAGATGACATGATTGATCTTAACTGCATATATAGATGGATGGGTGGCTAGAATGGTGGAAAGGGTGATTTAAGTGACTTTGTAAGTAACTTTTTAATTTCAGTAACTTTGTCAGACATGCTGATTTAAATAGAAAAAGATCACATACAGTTCAACTATTTCTACATTTTACAGAAAATTGTTCAAAAAGGAGAAATATGGCTGTGGGAGCTACATAAATGACTTGTTGAGACTGGTTAAGCTAACAGAAAGACAAGCGTAACTCTGTTGTGACAGTAACAGTAACCACTCATAGGTCATTAACCACACCTGAGAGAGAACATCTCTGAATCCACAACAAATTGAAACTTGATGCAACAGGGTTACAGTAGCAGAGCACATTAGAGCCACTCCTTCAGCTGAGAACATCAATCAAGTCTACAGTTCACACGGACATGTGAAACTTGGAAAAAACTTGTCTGGTCTGACAAGTCTTGATTTCTGCTTCCATATTCATAAATTACTAATGGTCAGGTCAGAATTTAGCATTAAAAACAATTAAGCATGTATCCATCCTCGCCCTAATCAATCTAAATGAACCATCTGGTGAAATTGTAACCACATCGCAATATATATCACAGAAATACAAAATATGGTAATATCAGATTTTTCCAATATCCCAGCACTAATTCAAGTAAACAAATATTTGTAAAACTAATTTCCATGACTTTTCCAAAATTTTGTGGGTTTTTCTGTTTTTCCAAAACTTTTCCAGGCCTGGAAAATGCGATGTCAAAATTCCATGACTTTTCCAGGTTTTCCATGACCGTATGAACCCTGTTGGTACACTTTAATTTAAATACCAATTCCCACTATTAATATACTGGCTGTTCATTACTTCTTATAATTCTACATACCTAATTACCAATACCTAAAACTACTAACGTTACCCTACTAATTATTGATAATTAGTAGTTTATTGAACAACTTGAATAAAAGTTCACTATACTCAAATGACCTCCACAGCAAGGCATTTCTAGGTCCAACCTTGTAGGCCTAAGTTACTAAAGTAGCCAATGAGTGTGTACATTGTTAACTTCGTTTAATTATTACTAAGACTTTGAATTTATGTTAAAAAAACAGACACACAGACACACACAAAAGATAATGTAGTCTCATTTACCTGTCAGAGGTATAGTCTCTGGAGGCGAAGGCTGGGAAGCACAGTCGTCATCGTCACCATCTTCTTCCTCGTCACTGCTCCAGCCGTCCGACTGGCTGTGCTCTGTTTTCATGGCAGAATTTTCTAGATGCTGCTTCTGGGGGTCTGTCCTGAAGGGGGTACGGGGCAGGAATGAGCAGAGACCTTGACCACATTGCTACGTTCCGGGGCCTGTTATCATGCAAGGCTGATTTTCCTGCGATTTTTCCACCTAAAATGTAAAAAAGCTGCTAATTGCAAGTGCTGCGTACTATAACAAGTGCGGCACGCAGGCCAGCCTAACTAGGAGCCAAAGCTGTGATTATTATTGGGCCTGTATTTTATTAATGACTCTTTAGCGCCTCCCTGTGGCGGTTCCCTGTGAGAGCTAGGTTAAGAAAAAAACAAACACAAACAGAATAAAACAAAAACTTCAATGAAATTCAGTCCTCATGACTTATTTTCAGTTACGACATGTTATAAACGTATGAGTATTTGCTAGTTTTCATGTCTGACCAAGTGTCAGTTAATTCAGAGCATGCTACAAACTTTCAGGTGTCCTACTGTACAATCCTCCCTCAGCACTCGTAGTGATAAATGTTATACGGCAGAAGGATTAACAAAAAGTTAGGAAGATAATTAAAGACACTCACTTTTCTTGTAGCATGTCTGTGACTCCCAGAGACGGACAACACCTCTGACAGGTAGGTGTACAGTTTCGACTTTCCTACAGGCAAGAGACAGAAAGAAAAAGGAGAAAGAGAGAGAAAGAGGAGACATGTGATGAGTTAACATACTGTCATCTGAGTTTCCTCTGTAGGCGGTGCTTGCTAATTAATTTCATGGAGAAGCTCTTTAGGTGCTGGAACTTGTCACAGACATCTTCAAATCTGTAATTTACTAGATTGAGCCATCATCTCAGTGTAGTAATGTACACGCTCACATTTAGAAATGATAGTGAAAAACATATACCTGCTCACATTCAGGACAGTCTGAGTGGAAAGACACGTGATCTGGATGTGCTTCAGTTTGTGCTGTAAGAAAAGAAGCATCATCTCAGAAGGGGACGATGAAAACCTCAAAACTAAATATCTCGGTTTTTAACAAGAGCCACGTGTGTCGTTTTTTTTCAGTTTAAAAGACTGGCTAATATGAAAACTGAACAATATGATTAACTAGTTCATTTTCAAAATTATTTTAATTAGTTTATCAAATTTTTAAAATAATTTATTATAATTATTCACACTAAATATATTCCTAAATTGTTTTTTATATAATTTAATGATGACAAATGGTGAAAGATGTCAAGCATAGGCTACTGTTTAAATGTTTAAAGACGATTTGAAAAAAGTCATATGCTCACCATAAATATCAATAAATACATGAATTTATTTAATTAAACGGATTCATTTATTCAAATTTGTTTATATTTTACAAGTATTTTCTGTAATGGAAAATAGGTTTTCATCATCTTTAGGTTTCACGAACCTTCAGAAAAGATTATAATAAACACTCATTCATTCATTCATTTTCTTGTCCGCTTATTCCCTTTATTAATCCGGGGTCGCCACAGCGGAATGAACCGACAACTTATCCAGCAAGTTTTTACGCAGCGGATGCACTTCCAGCCGCAACCCATCTCTAGGAAACATCCACGCATATTTACACACACACTCAAACACTACGGACAATTTAGCCTACCCAATTCACCTGTGCCACTTGTCTTTGGACTGTGGGGGAAATCGGAGCACCTGGAGGAAACCCACGCGAACGTAGGGAGAACATGCAAACTCCACACAAAAACGCCAACTGAGCCGAGGCTCGAACCAGCGACCTTCTTGCTGTGAGGCGACAGCACTACCTACTACGCCACTGCTTCGCCCATAAACACTTATTATAATTGTAAGAGTGTTATTATAAGCGTGTTTTATTAATTATTTAAAACAGAAATTTTGTCAAACATTTATAGTCAATTTAATTCAGCTTAAGGATATGTGCTGAAAAAGTATTAAAGCATTTATTATTAAAAATAAATCTTTCTTTTCTTAAAGTTTTGAAAAGCACATATTTTGCATGAAAAATATTTCTTGAAAGTTTTGTTAAAATTTTAAAAACGGATCTAATCTAAACACTGATTTATCTATCGATAATGCTATTGTTCTATTTTCTATTTTTTGTCAATCCACTATTTATAAGGTATTGCTTTGAATAGCACTTCCTCCTGGTCCTTACTTATAAAAAGTGTTATGAGGAAGACATTATTAGATTAACTGCATTTTTAATTATATTTTATTAATGATTACAGAGCAGGTCGTATCAAGTTTGTTCTTAAAAACCTTACATATGTCCATTTGAGCAATCATTAAAGCTATATTTCATCTACTACTGACTCTAGTTCTCTAATCGGAACCCTGTGGGGGTTAGCAAGCATCGGTCCAGTGATTAATCCCTAATCATGACAAATGGTATCACATATAACAATGTTGAAATGATTTTAATTTGTTTATCAGATTTTTATGTATAACAATTAATCATAGTTAATCATCATCCTACAAATTACAATATCTAATTTAATGATGAAAAAATGTGAAATTAATATTTGTAACATACGCTACTGTTCAAATGTTTAGGGATCTAAATTGATGGATAAAATTTTATACACATTTTAAATATATTTTTTGTAATAGAAAATAGATAAAATAGAAAATTTTTTAAACTGCCATCATCTTTAGGTTTTACCTAAAATTATTGTAATAAACACTTATTATCATTGTAAATGTTATCAAGTATTTTGCAGCTTATTACAACTTGTGGAAAGTAATACATTTATTAAGGATTTCTAAATTAAGTTTATTTTTTCATTATTTTAAATAGAAATATTGTGAAACATTCATTGTCATTTTAATTCAACTAAAAGGATCTGTGCTGAAAAAGTATTAAAGTAAAAATTTCATAAAAAATTTATAAACTCATTAATAAATCCTTCTCTTATCAAACCTTTGAAAAGCATGTATTACAAATTTTTTTTAATTTAGAGTTTAGGTACAATGTAAAAACTGATCAAATCTAAATACTGGTTTATTATTATATATTGAGGATGCAACTGTTTATAACTATTGATACAATACACTATTTATAAGGTATTGCTTTTTATAGCACTTCGTCCTGGTACTTACTTATAAAAAGTGTTAGAAGAAACACATCATTAGATTGACTGCATCATTAATTATATTATATTTTAATGTTGCAGTCAATCTAATGTAATAGATGCCCCAGTACAGGAGGGATACCCGGAGCGGGTCGTATCAAGTTTGCTGACCTGCAGAATTCAGTGTGTTGAAATTCCCATGGGCCTCAGTGGGGTAGTTGGAAGCAGAGCAGGCGGACATGGGCAGGATGTCCCTACACACCGTCAGCTGAACCGTGCCCTCCGCCTTCCTCAAAATATCCACAACTTTACTATGGCTCAGTCCTGATACAATGATGCCATTAACCTGCACACACACACACAGCTCTGATGTAAAAATCTGTGTTTACTTGTTACTTGCTTGCATGTTCTGAACCTGATTATGTTTCATAACCTAACAAAGCATGTGCACATCTTGTAAACATGCCAACCTATTTTTACTTCATCAGAATAAGTTATGTCACAACTAGATTTTTGCCTTTTCCAACTTCACCTAGCAATGCAATGAAATGTTTTCTGTCATCATTATTGAAGTGTGGATTTGCGAATGTGACAGAACAGCAAACACTTAATGTTCCCCTAATATATGTTTTTGGTTCCTGTTTATTATTTTTTCAAGAACCAAAAACTGACTTTACGTCAACATTCTTTTTAGTTTGTTTGATAACCATGAAATAACAATCCCAGAACATTGTAGGGTGGTTATTTTAAAGAAAACACATCTATAGAGAACGTTCTCTCATGGTTACTCTTAAATTATTATTTGCAACCATAAAATTTGCGTTTCCGGGACGTTGAATATTGGTTATTTAAAAAACAATCTAAAAACAACATATACAGAATGCTTCCTATAGATTATCTTTAGTAAGATTAGAAATTTAAATATTCAGGGGAAAATATTCTGATGTAATAATAAAGTCTTGCATGTAAACCATGACAACGGGTTATTTCAGTTGATTTTTATAAGCTTGATTTGATTTAAGTTATCAGCATATTAGTTGTGCATGTAAATGTGTTAACTGAGCAAAAGATTGACACACACCTCCAGAAGGATGTCACCCACTCGAAGACGACCGTCCTGCTCAGCCACGCCCCCACAGCATATGTCCTTCACTCTCAGTGTGCTGCCGTTGACTCCGCCCACCAGTGCAAAGCCCAGCCCACCACGATCAGGCTTGGTGAACTCCACCTGCAGGATACAGCTCTACAGGAAGAGGGGCAGAGAAACTGGGATATTTAGGCAAACTAAACACTGAGGCCTTCTAAAGTACTGCACAGAAATCTTTATTGGATTTAGAATTAAAACATTAGTATAAAGTGATGGAAACTGATCCATTTGCTCAGGTTAGACAGATCAGTATTCAGGATGTGAGATTTTTTGGTTAGACATCACAATGTGGTTTGAATTGTTAACATTAGTGTTATAAGATTTACAAGTTAATAAATTCTGTAAAATGTTTTGTTTGTAGTTTATTTGTGAACAAAAATATAATGTCCAATAGTTTATAATAAATAATATTAACAAATTAGACCTTATTGTAAGGTGTTTTCAAAATTTTCACTGTAAAACGTTTCACTTGGTTACATTTATAAACTTAAGTTCACCAGCTGCCTTGAAAATGTGTCAACTCAACTTAGAGAGATTCTTTGTTTCAGCTTAAGATGTTGAGTTTTGTTGAATATTGTGAAACTCAACATCTTAAGCTGAAACAAAGAATCTCACTACGTTTATTTGACTCAATTTTTAAGGCAGTTGATGATAAACCCCTCACCAAAATGCTACTGTTCAATCACAAACTATGCAGATATACACATTGAAGTCCAAATTATTAGCCCTCATTTGAAATTTTCATTCTTTTGAAAATATTTCCCAAGTGTCGTTTAACAGAGAGAACTCATTTACTCATTACTTATAAGTCAATAACTCCTTTCTTATTTCTTTTGTCTTTGCCATGATAACAGTACATAATATTTAACTAGGTCAGCAGTTCCCAAATTTTTTAAGCCCTCGACCCTCAAAATAACAATTCCAGTTACTCACAACCCCCACTATTCTCGAAGGTGGTTATAAACATACAAACATTGCACACAATGTGCACAAACACCAATAGGAACTAAATACACATGAGCATATTAACAGCACAAAAAAGTGCAGCAGTCTAACAACCTTTTTTTTCTGTCATTATTAATTTGTTAAGGAGATTTTGATCATCCTCCATGTTCAGTTGTGGCCTTTTTTTAATGTATGTGAGTGTGTATAGGTGTCAAAGTTGAACATTATGCCATAAAATCAATCTGCTGCATCTGACAACATTGCTGTGTCATTAATATAACCAAAACAACCCAGGGGTTGCAATCCAATGGAAAAAAATGAAAGGCTGATGGCTTTTTTTTCCATGTTGTTTTTTAAATATGTAACCAAATAGTATTTTATCTTCTGTAGGTTATGGATGAAATATGGTAGTTCTAATAGTTTAATAATATGTTCAATGTCTCGCGACCCCCACTTAGGGAACCACTGGACTAGTTATTTTGCAGTAGTGCAATTTAAAGGCTCAACTAGGTTTATTAGGCAAGTAAGGTTAATTGATTAGGCAAGCAATTAGACAACAGTGTTTTAATGTTTAGCAAATGGAAAAAAAAGTATTTCTTAAGGAGGCTAATAATATTGACCTTAAAATGATTGTTCTTATATATATATATATATATATATATATATATATATATATATATATATATATATATATATATATATATATATATATATATATATATATATATATATATATATATATATATATATATATATATATATACATATATATATATACATACATACATATATATATATATATATATATATATATATATATTTACACACACACATATATATATATATATATATATATATATATATATATATATATATATATATATATATATATATACATATATATATAATTGCAGCCAAACTAAAAGTAGTAAAACTTTCTCCCAAAGAAAAGACATTATGAAATACTGTGAAAATTGACCTCAAGTTGAATTAAATTTTTACAGTTCAGTCACAGTATAAATGGCAAACAGCACTTCATATAATTGTAGTGCATATAAACAAGCAACTGTTCTCCTTTTCCAGGAAAACTTTATCGTATCGCTTTCTGAATAGTTTAATATCAATGAATTATGAATTCAGTGCTGATGATAATTACACAAGTACTGTATTTAGAGGTGAAAGAAAGAGATTACAAAGCAAGGGTCACATTACAGTCCATGCCATCAGTCTGAAACAATACAGAGGGACAAACACATACCTCCTGCTCCGCTGTGACCGACAGCCTCTTCCTGAACAGCATGGCACTGTCAGCGACTGCTTTAACTGAAACACAAATAAAAAAGATTTCTATTTCAAAAACTGTAGACATCAAAGTCATCAGAAATAAATACAAATCAACCCAAGTATCACACCACATAATATTCTTCCAGCTAAAAATGAAAGCAAGTGCAAAGCGATGAAAAAACAATTCCTAAACTCACAAATGCCCCTCTCCTTTGCTGCCATACCAGCGGCAGGTGTGTTGATGCCACTAAAGGTAAGCTATGCCTGCTTTTTGAAGCTCTTTCGGACCTCCTGGCCAGCGGTTTCCTAGCAACCTGGATGCCCACTAGATGAGCTGGCCTTTATTTGTCAGACACAGCGAAAGCGCACTTTGATCGGCCAGAGGAGGCCATGTCCCTTGCTAATAATTAATCTTGCACCCGCTGCCCTCTGAGCAGGACATGCCATGTCTGTCAGTGCAGATCTACTGCCACAGAGACACAAGAAACCAAAGGGCTTTACCGTCTGCAAGAGCTGAATGCACGTCAGGTGACATGGGCTCCTCCAGGTGAGGGAAACCTTTCTTCTCTTTCCATTCAAACAAACCTAAAGAAAGGAAATGGTGAGGTATAAACTAAATTTGTTTTAAAATGATCAGTTATCCATTTTAAAATGATAATTTATCCCACAAGCAACTAAGTTTTAAATCACTCTTCTTTTAATGGTAGTTGATGGTCAGTAGACTAGATATTTTATTAGATTAGTAGTATATTGTTTTTTATAAGTATCTATATATTCAGTTAGGTATTTATATACCTAATGTGAATTAAACACCAGTGCGAGTATATGCTGCAAATTTAATCTCACTACAAGGATAAATAAACTTGACTTGACTAAACCAATTTTGTTGTCGTTGTTTTTTTTTTTTAACTATGTTATTTCAGAAATCTATCTGAAAACCATTACACATTTTAAATTGTGATTTTTTATGATATTGTTATTTAAATTAATATTAGAAATTCAAATAAATGTTTTAATAAATTGACAAGCATTTAGTAATGATTAAATTTCACTCACCGGCCACTTTATTAGGTACACCTGTCCAATACATTAAAATTATCGACAAACTTAATACATTTAGGCATGTAAACATGGTCAAGATGATCTTCGAACTGAGTATCAGAATGGGGAAGAAAAGTGATTTTAGTGACTTTGAACTTGGCATGGTTGTCGATGCCAGACTGGCTGGTCTAGGTATTTCAGAAACTGCTGATCTACTGGGATTTTCACAGACAATCATCTCTAGGGTTTAAAGAAAATGGTCCGAATAAGAGAAATATCCAGTGGGCAGCAATTCTGTGAGTGCAAATGCCTTGTTGATGCCAGAGGTTAAAGAAGAATGGCCAGACTGGTTCCGGCTGATAGACACGTCCTTTGAGATGGATGGGCTACAGCAGCAGAGAACCACACCAGGTGCCACTCCTGTCAGCTAAGAACAGGAAACTGAGGCTAATGAGGCTCACCAAAATTGGACAATAAAATATTGGAAAAACATTGCCTGGTCTGATGAGTCTTGAATTCTGCTGTGATATTCAGATGGTAGGGTCAGGATTTGGCGTCAACAGCATGAAAGCATGGCTCCATACTGGCTTGTATCAACGGTTTAGGCTGCTGGTGATGCTGTAATGATGTGGGAGATATTTTCTTAGCACTCTTTGGGCATCATGTAAATGCCAAAGCCTGAGTATTGTTGCTGACAATGTCCATCCCTTTATGACTACAGTGTTCCTATCTTCTGAGGACTACTTCCAGCAGGATAACGCACCATGTGCGAATCATCTCAGACTGGTTTCTTGAACATGACAATGAGTTCATTGTTCTCAAATGGCCTCCACAGTCACCAGATCTCAATAAAATAGAGCATATTTACGATGTGGTGGAACGGGAGATTCGCATCATGGATGTGCAGCTGACAAATCTGCAGCAACTGCGTGATGCTATCATGACAATATGGACCAAAATCTCTAAGGAATATTTCCAGTACCTTGTTGAATCTATGCCACGGAGGCATAAGGCAGTTCTGAAGGCAAAAGAGGGTCCAACCCAGTACTAGTGAGGTGTACCTAATAAAATGACTGGTGAGTGTATAATAATAATAATAATAATAATAATAATAATAATAATAATAATAATAATTGTTCTCCCTTAAGTTAGTTAGTTAATAATACTCTCCTAAGTTAGTTAGTTAGTGTCTTATGCAACAGCACAGCAATCACGTAAACAGGTTTCACACAGGCAAGCTCCAATAACATTTGAATGAGATTAATAGTTTGTTCTATTTGGTGTACATATCAGTGGAAAAATTGAGGTAGTCAAAATTTAAGATTACAATTACTGATTTAAATTCTCGAGTCTCACCTACATTAAAACTACTATTTTGAACTCAGCATACTTTACCTAATCTGAGCAAAATTGGTGCTAAGATACAAGCACATGCACCGCAATACAAAATCAAGAGAATCACATATTAGTCCTGACAGGCACAGTGGTTAAAGTACTCTAATAAAAGTTGACACTGAAAATGTGTCGATGTCCAGTGAAGCATGCAGTGAGAGCTCGGGCTGCTCCGGAGCACCACTTGAGCAGCTTTTCGTCTCATTTCTGTCACTTCAGACTAGGCTGAAACACGTCGATCACGACTGCCCTCTGCAGCTCAGCCGAAGCCTCCACGTGCCCAGAGCAAGAAAAAACACCCCACTGACTGCCAGAGCTGCCACCTTGCCCACGGGAAGGGTAAAGTCTATGTGTAACTCCACACTTCATAATAGAAGCACACAGTCTTAAAGTCAACTTATAAAAATAAATGTTGTGATCTGTTTTCATCTGGAATGAACATAACTTTTCTCATCAGTAATGGTCAACCAAGACTTATTATATTTCCAGCTACAGTGTTTCCACCTGATAATAACATGTTCATAAGCATTTATTGTAATCACGTGAGTTTAAGACTATTTATAATGTCATAAACTGAAGAAAATGATAAATTGAATTTATTAAATTTATTTAAGGTAAATTTCTTTGGGCTGAATTTAGGCAAACAAATTAGGTTGAACATTACTAAATTTAATTTGTTTGTTTAAATTCAACCCATATAAATTGTTTGCAACAATTGTTTTTCATTGTACATCACATTGACAGGATGACTCAGTGCTATACACAAGCAGAGTGCGAATTACAGGGGGTTTCAGTTCTTTAATACTGATAAATATTTCACTCTGATCTCTATTTTGAGTAATAAGGTTAATAATTTAAATATTTAATTAATTCATTTTCTTTTCATCTTAGTTCCTTTATTATATAGTTATATTTACTCAATTCACCTACAGCACGTCTTTGGACTTGTGGGGGAAACCGGAGCACCCGGAGGAAACCCACGCCAACACAGGGAGAACATGCAAACTCCACACAGAAATGCCAACTGACCCAGCCAAGGCTTGAACCAGCGACCTTTCTGCTGTGAGACCATTGTGCTACCCATTGCGCCACCGTGTTGCCCATTACTTTAAATAATAGATAATATAAATATTCATTTGACCACCCCTATAACGGTACAAACCATTGTGAATGCATAATCGTGCCAATCAGTTTATTCAAGAAAAAAGTCTGAAAGTGTCAGATTTAAAGCACCAATATAGACATCATGCTCACAAGACTTTGTTTTCTCGTAAGTAGGTGTTTATATTTACATTTAGCCTAAAAATAAAATAAAATTAGACACATAGTTTGTAGTTCAACCTACAGTAACATCTGAAATAGCTAATCAAAGAATACTGTAGGTCAGAATACACTAAATATCCCTCAAAACACTGAAAACGTAAATTCATTTTATTAATAAAATAGATGCAATTAAAATAAATACATAAATGACTGAAGCATGTATTACACAAACAAACCAAAACAGTTGACCCTCCTGATCGTCAATGTATAATTCACACACTGTACACAAGCACCATTAAATGATCAAACCTGTGTTACAGGGCTTATGATTGAGCAAAAAAGCAAGCCAATATGAAGGATCTGGATGTCAGTTGTGATTTTGACACCAATGCATGATTTGTATGTATATCTAGTCTTGGCATGGTTTCTTAGAGCTGTGTTTTTCAACCACGTTCCTGGAGGCCCACCAACACTACATGTTTTAGATGTCTGTTACACCTATTACAGGTCTTTCCGTCTCTGCTAATGAGCTAATCTGAATCAGGTGTGTTTGGTTTAGGAGACATGGAACATCTTGTGTTGCCTGTTCGTTTACACTATGATCTAATCCATTTTGGACTACCTCTGGAATTGGTTGAAATTGGATGAGCTCAAATTTGTTTACACCTGTACTTAACATCATCCACTTGGGACAGAAATGACAAAAATGCCATTGCAAAAATGCCAAATGCCTATCGTTTAACAAATTATAACAATAATTCAAGCAGATCTGCAAAATCAAACATACCGTTCCACTTATCTCTTGGTATGACTGGTTGATCATCTCTGGAAAAAAAGAATACAAAAAAAAATATTACCTCAACAAATGACAAAAGGAAACACTGAGGCATTTGTATAATTAATGCTGCTATTGATCATCCTCTAATCTCACCTCATGGCTTTGAATCTGACTTTGCGTGGGGAGCTCTCACACACTTTTACCGCATCCTCCAGCGTCATTCCCAGAGTGCATCTCCCACATATGTAAACAATCTTGTCATTGGGCTGAATGCTGCCCTCCTCACTAGCAGGAGAGCTCAGCACCACCTCCTGCACATAAATTCCTTGCCGTTTGCTTCCAATCCCTCCTGTTAGCTTAATACCTGCACAGACAAAAGCAAATCTGAGTTGTAAATGAAATACAAGAATTCTAGGAACTTCAAGCAAAACATTGTGAATGGGCCCCTTCAGTATATGCATAACTAAGGTTTAATTTGTTCTATCAGAACAATTTCACATACATGAGTTGAAACAGTAAGTAATATGATAAAAAAAGGGAAAAAATAAAATTAACAAGCACAAATGCAACATTTTGCCTATTTAAAGGGATAGTTCTTCCAAAATGTACTCACTATTTACTCCCTTAAACATTGGTTTTAAACCTTTATGACTATCTTTTTCTTTTAAACACTAAAAAAGATATTTTGAAGTAAGCCGAATACATGTAACCATTGACCTTTATAGTAGAAAAAAACAAAAGTTATTTTCAGCTTTCTTCAAAATAGTTTTGTGTTCAACAAATGAAAAAAATCAAGCAGGGGAAGTGTTACATCGTTCAAACAACGACTTAAATCTCGGCTGAACTACCATGGTATGATGCATCGTTTGGGAAAAGAACGATGTAGTGAAGAGTGATCCATCGTCCATGTTATTTATAACGTAAAAACGTCTATTATGATGCTTTAATTGGGGTCGAGTAACTTCTTTAAAGAAAAAAAAAACATAATTCTTATGCAAAATATAATGTTTTACACGCACACGCAAAAAATCCAATTTTAGTTTTGGTAAAAAAATGCCATATCAATTTAATATTAAGAAACATATAATAATCATTTTAATCTCATATATAAATCATATAAATTTTTAATGGTTGTGATTTACAGTAGGCTATTTATTAAGAAATAAAAAAATCCTACTTAATACTAATATATATATATATATATACATATATATATACATATATATATATACATATATATATATATTTTTTTTTTTTTTCGTATTAAGTAGGATCTTGTTTATTTATTTTAATCTTATTTTATTCCTTGTAAAAATCTACTTTTACAATCTGACACATTCAAACCACTGCATATGTCATATACAGTATAGATCCTTAATAAATAACCTACTATAAATTAAAGCCATTAACATATGCTAAATATTTTTGTTTTCACTTGGAGACATAATAATAGGTCACCTTAAGCTTTCGTCATGAGCCACAGCTGCATTCAAAATGGCATAAATGTTTTCAAAGTGCACTATGAAGGGAGCAGATGTTGGATGTTATTTAAATGTTGGAAGGTTTGAAAGGAATAGGCCATAGTAGGATACCGGGGAATAGAACACAGCCAGGAACTATGCTTCTAACTACAGCTCTAGAGGTGTAGCTGCAAGCAGACAAGTTTACGATGCAGTTTGCGAATGTTTGTTGGAACGATGGATTTGGTAAATGCCAAATCAACAAAATATTCAAAGACGCGACTTGCGACTTAACAATGGTTATCGAAAACGCATCCAAGGATTGGAACAAGTGAGTGATTAGTAAAATGATAACAGGATTTTCATTTTTTGGATGAACTATCCGTTTAAATAACATCTGCTATAAAATATTAGGCTGCTTTCTTTCCAAGGCGTACATTTTGACATACTTTAGTGTATCTGTTTGATAAATTCTATTTATAAACAGTAATGCTTTTTTAATTATCTTTAAAACATTATAATAATAGCTCAATTACAATAATTACCAATAATTTAGTAGATTGTATTTATAGTATGAAAATTACTTTATCCTTTGAATTTCAAGCTACATGAAATATGAGAAACAGTAAGCTTTGCATTAAAATAAAAATGAAGAAAAATAATAAGAAAAAATCTATCAATCTTCAAGTCTATCAGCAAATTTTACACATTACCTTTTTCTATTCATTTCTGTAATCATCATCTGGTAAAAATAGAGCCAGATATAGTCTTTCTCTAAAGAAGTTTCCCAGTTCGGTGACAATCTGGCACCAAATCATTAAAATCCTTTTTGCTTTTGTTTCTTGTCAAATACTCCACTCTGACTGACTATCATTGAATAAAATTAAGAAATAAATACATAATAAAACAAACAACATTTAAGTATACAACGACGCTTAAAGTAAACCTTTCCATATTTTGCTCCATCTTGGAATAAACACACAGAAAACTGCCTGGGGAACAGTGTCTTTTTCGCTGCTCAATACGCTTATTTTTTAAATGATCATATTAATGTTAAATCATCTTTGAGAGCAAGGGGCTTCCTGTTTGCCCTGTTTACAGTAGACTGGAACTGAGTCAGAAGATGGCAAGTTCCAGAACATTCAGTTTTCTACCGCTCTCTCTCTATTGAATTGGCTTGTTATCATGCATTTGCTCACCCAGTTGTCCAGATGGAGTCTTGGATATGATAATGTCCTGGAGGGTGTCAGGAGGTGGTGGAGGGAGCAGATTTTGCACAGCTCTGCCCAGCACCATGTGCAGTCTTTTGGAGGAGCACCTGAGGATGCTTATTGCCACGTCATCTGTCACGCTGGTCACATTATGACCATTCACCTAAAAATACAAAGAGAAAATGCTAATTCAGTCAGCTGGAACTGTTTACCGTCAGCCCCAATGACAATCAAAATGCAAATCCTCGGAAAGAGACAGTCATAACTGTGAATGTGTGGAAAAGGATGTACCATGATAAGCCTGTCTCCTGCCCTCAGTCTGCCATCTGCTTTGGCTGGATTATCCAGGACATCCTGGACATAATAGCAGTTGTCCAATTTACTCCTGGTTATTGTAAAACCGAAGCTTCCACACCAGGATTTGGTCAGTGAGACGGTCAGTTCAAACTCCTTAAACACATCCTGAAAGGTGACAAGAAAACATGTGCTTGTGAACAACATGGCTAAACTTGTTCACTAGCTAGACTAGTATTAATAATAAGGTTACACTCTTAATTTACATGGTCTGTTTTAGACTTTAATTTAATAGATCTTTATTTTGACAGTAAAACTGCTTCATCTTGCAGCCAATAAAGAGGTAGTAGACTGTCTAAATAATAGCTGTATGTTGATGGCTCTCCAACATGCATTTAAGTAGCTTTGTATGTACAAGTCAACTTTTTTTTACTAAATCTAACCTAACAGTCTACTAATACTGTATTAAAGGGGCTTTCAAACTTATAGATGCCACAGACCCCCAAATACCAACAACGGTTATCATTATTTTGGCTGTAAAATATTTAGTTTTTTTAGTACATTTTATATACACTAACTGGTCACTTTATTAGGTACACTTTACTAATATCAAGTTGAACCCCCTTTTTCCTTCAGAACTGCCTAAATCCTTCGAGGCATAGATTCAACAAGGTACTGAAAATATTTCTTAGAGATTTTGATCCATATTGACATGATAGCATTACGCAGTTGCTGCAGATTTGTCAGCCGCACATCTATGATGTAAACCTCTCATTCCACCACATCCCAAAAGTGCTTTATTGTATTGAGATCGGTTGACTGTGGAGGCCATTTGAGAACAGTGAACTCTTGTCATGTTCATGTTCCAGTCTGAGATGATTTGTGCTTTATGACATGGCGCGTTATCCTGCTGGAAGTAGCCGTCAGAAGAAGGGTACACTGTGGTCATAGATAGACATGGTCGTCAACAATCCTGAGGTAGGCTGTTGCATTTACATGATGCCCAATTAGTACTAATGGGCTGAAAGTGTGCCAGGAATGTGTGCCATATCTACATGCCTAAATGCATTGAGTTGAGTTGCTGCCATGTGATTGGCTAATTAGAAACTTACGTTAACGAGCAGTTGGACAGGTGTACCTAATAAAGTGGCCAGTGAGTGTACATTTGTTTATTTTTTTTTACATTTAGCATAATTTTATACATTTATTCATTTAACTCAAATTCTATTATAAATTTTAATCTAATAAAACCAATTTAGATAATTTCTTTGAATATTATTTAATTTTCTTTTTTTTTATAATTACAACTATTTCAATTGAATTTGTTTATTTTCTCCTAATGCCTGTTAAATTATTCGTTAATATTTTTATTTTTTATACTTAAATTTTTTTTTCTCTAAACAACCTCTTATAAAATCTACTTGCTCCAAAGTTAGATTAAAAAAAAAAACTAAGAGACAAATTAGGCATCTCTAATTAAAGAGTATTCCACATGTCTACAGGAAATACAATCAGGCTTCACCCTTCTGGGATCTTCATCATCCTCTTCGTCATCATCATCCCAGCCGTTGTTGCTGGGCTGGGCAGGAGGCTCTGCTGGAGATGCTGCTTGAATGGCCTGCTGGTATGTTGGAGGTGTGTTCAGCAGTGATGGAGAAAGTGCAGGCACAGGAGGAGGAGCTTCAGAGGAGACTGCAGTGCTGCCGCTCGGGGGAGATGGAGCCGTAGTGCTGATGGTCAGGTATTCTTCACCAGCAGTGACGGTCAGACCATTAGCTGTGAAACTTATCACGTTCTCTTCCACTCCTTCATCTTTCACGTGACTGTGAAGAGATAATGTGAAGTCATGTTTTTCCGTGCCAATGTATTTGAATAATTGATCATGACTATTTTTTGAATGAAGCAAAGAAAAAATCTTATAAAGCACATGCAAAAGGTGAAACAGGATTTTGTCGGTTATCTATTTACACATACAAAAAGTAGCTATGCAGCTTCTGAAATCTCTTTAGTACAAAATCCAACTCTTTATATAATAGCTCTTTATATACTCTTATATTTATACAGCTGCATATTAAACATTTAAATAATCTGACCATTTGCATCTCAATTGAAACACATCAAGGTTATAAATTTTTATTTCGTTTTGAGTGTTTGTTTTAACATACAGTTAGTATTAATTCGTTTTTAGAGATAGATTTACTATTTTTTTTATAGTTTATATATTTTGAAATTGCTTAGTTTTAGTTCAGTTTTTATTAGTTTCAGTATTAGTTTTAGGTTTTTTTTTTCTTGTAAATAAGGTTATTTGTTGGGAGCAAGATTCAAAATTATCAGAATATATAGTATAATACTCAATAACTCAACCAAAGATACATTTTTTGAAACATGTATTCAGAGGACACATGGACCCATCCTCAAAATCAAATACAGTCCACAAGATAGCAGGCCTAAGTACAATATGTGTGCAAGGCTGCTTCTGAAGTTAGATACACAGTATATGAAGTGCTGATCTTTGTGACAATTTTCCCATGTTTGGACTCAAAATACCAAAAATATGTAGTCAGCAATCCAAACTTCAGTCAGTTAAAACATCACCATGATCTGAAAAGTTTCTTACAATTATGTTTTGCAACCCAACTGAAGCATGATTCATTATGATTTTCTGTTATGAAATAAACTTAGGTTTCGTCAGCTCCTCTCATTTAAGCCCTTAAGTTGTTCAGTCACAGTTTAGTTCAGTCACAGCAGGCTGTCATGTACTGTTTGTTTTCGTTTCAGTTTTCATGCTGAATTGCGCAATATTATCGGTTCAACGCTTCTCAAATTTGGTCTCAGTGTACTATTCTAATAACTGAAGAACTCAGTATATATTGTTTTATTTCGAGTTAGAGCGGGTATTAGGCATGTAGAAAAGTGATTCAGTTCGATGGTGAACTAGTTCAACCGGTTCACTTAGAAGATTCGGTTTAAAAAAACTATTCGCTCACATTTGCGATCAATAAGACAGAAATAAAACCTATTATTGGGTACAAATGTGATAAATTAATCATTTTAGGTCCATGTTTAAGTCCATGTAACTTATTTAATGCTGTCGCCATCTTGTCTACTCGTTTTTTTAATCACAGAAGTAACAGTGAGGATAACTGGAGGAGGATCGGCTTGACAAAAATGAGGTACGTTTTGCTATAATTTTTTTGTTTTGTTTTAGCTAGTTTTTTATGTACACAATACCGTTTTAGTTAGTTCTAGTATTTAAAAAAAAAAAAAAAACTCTTGTTTTTATTGTTATTTTAGCTAATGAAAAGATTTAAAATTTTTGTTTTTTATTTTTTTAGTTCGTTTTTGTTAACTATAATAACCTTAAAACACATCACATCGCATCTATTGGTTTTGAATTTACATTACTGTTAAACGTAATCCATCAAAAATTATTTGATTTCACGAAAATATTTTTGTGAATAAACCTTTTAACATCGTAATTAATGAAAAAATATTTCTTGAACACCAAATCAGCATATATGAATATTATCCTAAGATTTATGTGACACTGAAGGTGGATTGATGACCGCTAAAATCAGCTTCATGTTAAAATATACTGTATTTAAAAATTGGAAATTTTAAACTAGTAATGTTTCATAATATTGTTTTTTTTTTACAATATTTACTACAGTATATCACATGAGTAGCAACCTTGAAAAAAACTCTTTAAAAAATGCTAAAATTAAAAAATCCTAACAAACCCAAATTTTACCCCTAATGGCCCCAAACTTTAAAGTTTTTAAAACACAAAGTGAATTAATCAAAACACAAGTTTAGAACGATTATGTTATATTGTACAATCAGTATAATAATAATAGTTAGCTTATTATTATAATTAATTTAATATTTTTTTACATTTAATATTTAATTTAACATAATTAAAATAGATCATACATTCATTCATTCATTTTCTTTTCGGCTTAGTCCCTTTATTAATCTGTGGTCGCCACAGTGGAATCAACCACCAACTTATCCAGCATATGTTTCACACAGTGAATGCCCTTCCAGCCGCAACCCATCACTGGGAAACCCATACACACTCATTTGCATACATACATATACTATGGACAATTTAGCCTACTCAATTCACCTGTACTGCATATCTTTTTGCTATGGGGGAAACCAGAGCACCCAGAGGAATCCCACACAAACGCAGGGAGAACATGCAAACTCCACACAGAAATGCCAACTGACCCAACCAAGGTTCAAACCAACAACCTTCTTGCTTTGAGGCAACAGCACTACCTACTGCGCCACTGAGTCACCCATTATTATAGATCATATTGCATCAAAATATTCCACCATTTACCTCGTACATGCTGAGACATGGTTGCTTCTAGAGACAGTTGGTTCGAGTGACTCTTGCTGATGGGCTTTAATTGCAGTTTTAGGTGCTGCTGGGGTTTGCACAGTGTTGGTTGTTGACGCTTTAAGAATGCCTGGTGTTGGAGGAGGAGTCGGAGGAGGAGGCGGGTCTTTCTTCTCATACTCCTCCACTAGAATGACATGAGGTTTTCTTTCTCCACCTTCAGCAGAAGATGGACGTGGAGGTAGAGGTGGAGGAATTGATTTATCTGTTTCCAGCAGCTCACTCTCCTGGGTTTCCTCAGGTGAAGCTTCTTTTTTAAGCCCCATCTCTATCGCCCGCCTCAAGAGGAGCTCACTGAAATCTGGAGCCACAGACCTCGCTTGTAGGTCGAGAGATCTGGATCTCAGTTCACGGTTTGGAACCTGTCAAAAAGGGATGTCAGTTTGAGACGTCAAATTTTAAAATTGTTTGCAAACATGAAGGAAGAGGATGTTACCAGAAAGGTCTCAATATCTGTATGCTCATCCTGTGAAGGTCTGCAGATTGACAGTCTGATCTCAGATGGAGATTTTTGGAGGAGATGCAGAACCTCCTGTGTGAAAAGAAAGTTGTACATTATAGTAAAGATATTTGGGGTTGTAAGATTGTTTTAAAATGAATTCTCTCATTTATTGCTCGGCTGCATTTATACAGTACAGCATTATGATTATAAACATTAGCCTTAAGTGTCATGTGTTCCTTCATAAGTCATTCTAATATGCTGAATATGTGCTTAAGATTCATTGGATGTTGTTGTCAATGTTAAAACCAGTTGTGCTGTTAAAACCAGTTGTGCTGTTCAAGACTAAACATTGCAGTTAAAAATCTGAAAAATTGGTCCTTATAATGTTTTTGGAAAGTCTAAACGAAAGAAAATAGAAAGAAAACATTAAAAATACACGTTTACTGTGGTTATGTATCACTTTATTCATTTGTGTTACTACAATATATATTTTAAAGGACATTTTTCTACCTATTCACAGTAATTTTAAATTTTAAATTAAGGAGCTTAAAAAGAGATGCCTAAAATCTCCTCTGTATAAAAAAGCTAACTAAAATTCTATCAAATACTGTATGTCAAACAAATGAGAACAAGAATTTTAAAATTAGAAGTAAATGCCTTTACATAATGCTTTATTTGGTTAGTTCAATTTCAGAATGCTGAATATAAATAATACATGCTTACCTCATAGGAAAGGCCTCTGACAGGTTCTCCATTGACAGCCAGGATTATGTCTCCCTCCTTCAGAAGGCCACAATCCCCTGCAGGATGACCAGAGGAAAGACTCTTGATCTGCACAATGTTTTCCTTTTCAGGACCCAACTCAGATACGAGAAAACTGAAGCCCAGGCCACTGAAACTCTTCTGCAACGTCACTTCCAGGATATTTTCTGATACAAATGCAGAGCAGAAAACAGATAAGGAAATCTGTAGTTTATTATAGGTACAAACTCACACACACAAAACATCTATGAACAGTTATAGGGATGGTTCATTAGAAAATGTAGTCTTTGTCTGTGTTACTCACCAAACAGGTGTGGCTTATGAATTAAATTATATCCTGTCCACTCTTTAATTTAAAGGGAATTATTGTGGACAGGGGCTGTTAACCTCCAAAATGACTAGATTTAAATTAGAGCTGTTGCATGAATCAGTTAATCTGGTTTACAAAGACACTCTGAATGATTTGTTTCTCAAATGGACAGATTACACTTTTTGACTCTGTGATCTGGTCCTAGCTGTTAACTCAGCGAGGGGTAAATTATCATTGAAAGATGAATTGAAATGCAAGCTCATAAAAATCTTTCTGTCTGTCTATCTGAACTTAAAAAGCGCATCCTGAAAGTATTCATAGCGTTACAGCCTCATTCAAAAATTTATTAAATTCATTTATTTCCTCAAAATTCTATACACAATACCCCATAACGACAATGTGAAAAAGGATTTTTTTAAATTGTTGCAAATTTATCAAAAATAAAAAACCCGAAAAATCTCATGTACAGAAGTATTCACAGCATTTGCTCAATACTTTGTTGATGCACCTTTATCAGCAATTACAGCCTCAAGTCTTTATGAAAATGATGCCAAAAGCTTGGCACACCTGTCTTTGGGAATTTTTGCCCATTCCTCTTTGCAGTAAATCTCAAGCTCTATCAGGTTGGATGGGAAGCGACAGTGTACAGCAATTTTCAGATCTCTCAAGAGATGTTTAGTAGGATTTAGGTCTGGGCTCTGGCTGGGCCACACAAGGACATTCACCGAGTTGTCGTGAAGCCACTCCATTGATATTTTGGTGGTGTGCTTTGGGTCATTGTCCTGCTGGAAGATGATCTGTCGCCCCAATCTGAGGTCAAGAGCACTATGAAGCAGGTTTTCATTTAGGATGTCTCTGTACATTGCTGCATTCATCTTTCCCTCTATCCTGACTAGTCTTCCAGTTCCTGTTGCTAAAGAACATCCCATAGCATGCTGCTGCATGGCATTCACTCCAAAGAGTTAAATTTTAGTCTCATCAGACAAGAGAATTTTGTTTCTTATGGTCTGGGAGTCCTTCAGATGCCTTTTGGCAAATTCCAGGTGGGGAGTGGCTTCCGTCTGGCCACTCTACGGTACATGCCTGATTAGTGGATTGCTGCACAGATGGTTGTCCTTCTTTAAGGTTTTCTTCTCTCCACATAAGAATGCTGGAGCTTAGACAGAGTGACCATCAAGTTATTGATCACCTCCCTGACCCAAAGGCCCTTCTCCCCGTTCACCCAGCTTAGATGGTCTAGGAAGAGTCCTGGTGGTGCCAAACATCTTCCACTTATGGATGATGGAGGCCGCTGTGCTCATTGGAACTTTCAGAGCAGCAGAAATTTTCACGTAATCTTCCCCAGACTTGTGCCTCGAGACAATCCTGTCTCTGAGATCTACATACAATTCCTTTGTCTTCATGCTTGGTTTGTGCTTTGACACACTGTACGTTATATATTTAGTTTTGATAAAAGAAAAAATACATACAGGATTAGATTATATATTTTTTTATCTTAAGGTTTTCATCTAACATTTTATTTTAAGTATATTGTGCTTGTCATGCTTTGTTGTCTTTTTTTCTATTTTGCTTTACGTAAATTGTTTATTTCTGTATTAATTTTATTCATTTTATATTTACTTCTGTTTGCTGTCAAAGCATTTCTAATGTTTAAATAAATTATCAGATGGATGATTTGCATTCTTTTTTAATACCTAAAAACCCCAACCCCACTAAATTCATCATTCACCTTTCTAAAATTGACTCTGTGTCCCACAGAAAGTTAGTCATCAGTTAGTAAAGTTAGTAAATCAGGTAAGTTGGGCATGGAATTAGGATGTGTAAATTGTTGTAAAACGTTAGGTGCACTGTCTCTTTAAAATGCACACCATTTTGCAAGCGAAATTGTGCGAATAAATGTCAGAATTGATGTAAGACATATGTATATGCACATAAAAACAAAATTCCTCTGGCTAAGATCTAAATTTGGCTGTGTCTTACTGAGCTGAGACTGTGGATCTGACAACTAGCACAGTGTAGCTGTCAGATTGAGTTGAAATGTTTTGTAGTGTTTTCTCCCCCTCTCTGATCCCCAGCTCACCATCTGACACAAATCTAAAGTCCTTGGTCCTGACAGACAAGGGCGTTTGTAGGGGCACGTCTCTCCTCAGGGGGGCACTGAGGGGTGAAGGAGATCTTCGTCTCTCCAATGTGGATGAGGCACTGGAAGTGTCCAGCACCACCGGAGGCTCTCGCTCCAGAACCAGACTCACCACCTGAAAACAACAACATCGTCATTAAAAGCTTCACATGCCTAATGAAACAATGCCTGTTACACTTATCTGCTTATTAAGTCTACACAGTTTCCAGATCCCAGATTCCCACAGAATTTCTGGAATATTATGGAATTTTAACAGGTCTATTCCAGACATTGAATCTCAGGGAATGTGACATTCTTTGGTCATGGATAATCAGTGATGTTTGTTTGTCATTTTAAATTTTACTTTCCAATTATCACCATGTAAAAAAGGCTGGGTTTCACACAATCTATTTGTGTTGGGACAACGTGAAGAGATTAAGTTAACTTTTAGTTTTTGTATATTTAATAGCATTGTAACATACAGTAAAACAATATAAGTTTTCCCGTTGTTTCAGTTCATTTTAAATATGTAGTTTGAAACAGTAAACAATTTTTGAGAGCATGATGTAATTATTCTATAACTTTTTGGTTATAGTTGGTCTTTTTCAGAGTCATTTTTTATTTTCTTACTTGTCAACTGGCAGTCACTTGGCTGAAATCTTGTGGAGCCTGAAGCTTAACGAATCACACTGGTCATACAGGGATTTCAAATGAATCATTATTTAATGTCTTAATCAATGTTGTATTAATGTTATAGGCTAACTGAAAAGATTGACCAAGTCCTTGGAATAAAAAAAAACACTTCAATCTTACTTTCAGTTCAGCTTTGTTTCAGGTTTTAAAACAGAGCTCAAAACATACAGTTGACGTCAAAATTATTAGCCCTCCTGTGATTTTTTTCTTTTTCAAATGTTTCTCAAATTATGTTTAACAGAGCAAGGAATTTGTCACAGTATTTGCTATAATATTTTGTCTTCTGGGAAAAAGTCTTGTTTGTTTTATTTCAGCTAGAATAAAAGCAGTTTTTATTTTTTTTAAAAACATTTTAAGGTCAATATCATTAGCCACTTCACTAAAAAAATTATTCAAAGATGATTCCTTGAATTTACTAAAATATTTTAAGTTAAGTGGTTGTAAACAATTTGTTTGGGCTGGATTTAAACAAACAAATTAAGTTAAACATTACTAAATGTAATTTGTTTGCTTAAATTCAACACAAATAAATTGTTTGAAACTATTTTGCAGACAACATTTTTTTCAGTGTTTGAGCTATATATTTTTATTGTCTACAAAACAAACTATTATGTTTAGAAATATGTTGAAAAAAATCTTCTCTCAGTTAAATAGAGAATGGAGAATGAAACATACAAGGAAGTGAATAATTCAGGAGGGCTAATAATTCTGATTTCAACTGTTTGTGACATGACAACATACAATATAAGATACATTTTCATCTGCCTAGTGTTTAATATAGTTAATGTAAATTCAGCTTCTTAGACAATCAAATTCAGGGAATTTGATATTAGGCTTAGAGTGAGAACCCTGTAAACAACAAATGTTGCTAATATACACTAACGGTGTGCTGCAATATTATTGAAAATCATGATCGTAATGTTTATATACTGTACACACCTAATTACCAACAGTCATACAGTGATTCATTTTTTTATAAAACATTAAATTATTGGTATATGGGATGTAAAAAATTGACTTTTATGTGTCATGTGACTAAATGAATTAGCTATTCAACGAGTTTTCTAAATCTGGACTCACAAATGCAGTATTTCACATGGGTATTTCACAGTGATTAGAGAACACATGTCATCAATATGCATGACACAAGGTCTGTTACCTAAGCCAACTAGTGAACACTAGGCAGCTTAAATGTTATAGTGTGTCAGTATGATGACACAAGCCTCAACGTCAAACTGCAGAAAGTCTTATTAGCACAGACGAAAATAACAACTAACACATGCTTTCACAACGGCGTGTCACTTTAGATCTCTTTTACGCTGTCTGAAAACCCTGAAGACCTTAGAGATGCTGGTGTTGTTGTCCTAAAGCTATTCACATGCTGAATAAAGGAGCAAGGGCCCTTCAGACCTTTGGCACCCATGAGTTCACATCTACGGCAGTTACTTCTTAAGATGTCAGCTAAGATTAAATGAAAGTGACTGCTCTTAAATGGCTGACTAATACAAATGCTCTATTTTTGATTAAACAGTACCTCACAAGTACTTCCAAGCAAGTATGAGATCTGTAATGAAACTACATAATTCACTCTACATCTATAAAATACAAGGACTTGCTTTATTATTGTTACATATACAAATCTTTAGCAACCAGGCTCTATATATCTAACATAGATGAATATGGAAGAGTCCAATTTGAAACACTAAGTATGCATTTAGGGGTAAAGAGCTCAGGATGCAAAGCAGCTAATGACTAAATTTAAATGTGCTTGTGATAAACAGAAAATGTTATAGTTTCAGTTTTTGCTGTCAATGAACCTTAGGCTTCACTTTATTGGGAAGAGTCAGTATTTTTTACTGGTGACTAAAAATCTTTACATTTTTGTTCATTTGAAATTTTACAGTTTCATTTTTGTTAATGGAAATAAAAAGCTGAAATAAAATTAATTTTAATAACTTAATAAACATTAATTTAAATCGTAATTAAATGAAAGAAAATAAATTGAAACTGAATAAAATTAAACTAACCATAATATATTTTATAATATTTTAATACAAATAAAATGTCAATTAAATATTATAAATATTCTGATATCAAGCAAAGATTAAAATGGAAACTTGATACATAAAATTAACCTAATTCTAAATATTATTTTTTAAAATTACATTTAATTGTGAGACACAGTTAAAAATAAATAAATAAATAAATAAATAAATAAATAAATAAATAAATGTATACCAGGGCTGAACAATCAGGGCTGGATAAACATAAGGGCTAGGTTGGGCTAAAGCCCTAGGGCCCGCAACAGGATAGGGCCATTGATTGGCTGAACAATTAATCTACTCCATCACACGGAAAACACCTCACTGCCTTTTGTAAGAGTGACCAGATGTCCCGTTTTTTTCCAGGACAGTTCCTTATTTTGGTTCTACCGCAAAAAGATTCAAGATTCCAGTTAAAGATTCAAACTGTATGCATTTTTTATGGTGCAATAAGAGAAGCCGGGATAGGCGGAATCATTTTGTATATGTTAATGGACTCATAACTAATCACTGTCTTGGCTGCGCAATCCTACCCTCAAATAATATAACTAAGACAGCGTGCAACCAAATTAAATAGCCTACACAACAGCTATCGAGAGGTCTAACATTGCGGAGTATCTATTGCAAGAAAAACATGCTTAAATCTAACTGAACCAGTTAGAAAGGAAACTTTTCAATTAATGAATTTCCCCTTTTATAAAAACAACAGTAATAATCCAGAGCAATCAAATATTAGCACTGGCTTTCATTAAACAGTATATCTGAGAAAAAAAAAACATGCTAACCTGCAATTGATTGACTCAATATCAAATGAAATGAAAATGAAAAAATAGAATCAGGGATTTAAAAATATTTTAGGGATTTCTGCTCAGTTAATGTTTAATGTTTTTAAAGATAATCCTATTTTATTGTAAAGCACTCATTTGAGAAGTATTGCAAATGTGGTTTTTGTTGTTGTTGTTGTTGCTGATTTTGATAAAGTTTGTGTGCTTGTAGTCTATGCCTACTTTAGTGGCATATAAATATAAATAAAACTGTGGAAAATTAGTAAATAATGCTAATTAACAAATTAATAATGATAATATAGACAGTAAAAAAAAGCTACTTTTGTGAGGCGGGTTTGCTGTAGCCCCAGGGTACAATATGTTCTTAATCCGGCCCTGTGGCAGAATATGTAATGTTGAGTCTGAATTATAGTTGTCCAGGAGCTATAAAATGTATTTAATAACTGTATTTTTACAGAATTTACACAATTTATGCAACAAAAATATATTTTATACTTAGAATTTTTGTTTCTAGTCCAAATATCTACATTTTAAAGCGAAAACAAGACTTTTACTAACACCATTGGCAGATAATTTTACTTGTTTAAAAAAAACAACAATATTTTTACTATCTTTTTTAGACATTTAGACAAGAAACCAGACAAAGCAAAGTCAGAAAAGCATTTTTGCATTGTGATTATTCAATTTCTCTACCTGAATACTATGAGACTCCCCAGAAAACCGTCAAATAGTGCTATTCAAACTATTTTGTGAAACCGTATACATATCACAATATTTATTGCAGAAAAATAAAATATTGCAATATCCGATTTTTCCAATATGATGCAGCCCTAAAATATACACTATAAATGTAACTATATATAAATGGTTGTGACTGTACCTCTCCGGTTCTCTTCAGGCACTCCACCGCCTGCCTGTGTGTGACGGCACGCAGGTTACATCCGTCCACCTCCAGCAGTCTGTCACCTGTAACACATTCACACATTACTGAGCCGTCAACAACAAATCATGCTTCACAACCCATCTGAATGTTGCATATTCATGATCATTAGCATGTTAGGAACACATTTCAGTCATGTTTGTGCATCATCAAAAAGATGAATAACGAATATCTTGACTGTTCATCTCAGTAATGTTTTAATTCAACATTAGTATGTGTTATTTAGCATGTATGCATTGAATTGTTTAAAAGGGACAGTAATTAATTTAAATGTATTAGGTATATGAATAATATTTATATTAATTACTAAAAATCAATTTCTAATTTAAATAATACTGTTCTTTTGAAATTTTAATTCATAAAAGGTTTGTGATAAATATATTCAGCGGCACTATTTTCAAAATGGATACGATTTTATTCTAAGATCACAAAAATTTACTTGTGAATTAAGTATTAACATAAAAATATTTCAAACTGTATTAAAACTTTACCATTATCATTTTTCATGCATTTTGGAACAAATAAACAGCCTTGGTAATCAAGAATAAAATGTTGATTTACTTACAAAAACAAAATGTAACATTATTCCAAAAAAGTGTGACCAGCAGATTAGTTTGAGTTCAGAACACTGAGCATCTTTGTCTTATAAATAATGATGGATCTTAACCTATCTGTATTCTTCCATCTTGATCTGCCGCTCCTCCTGCTATCACACTTTTGATGTAGATTCCTCCATGATGTACATTAGTGTTGATCCCACCCTAGAAATCAAAATAATGGTATCACTCTCCATGTTTCAATATTTCAGAACTCACATGAATGCCATTCAGAGTGAAAACTCACAGCAACACTGATTCCCAAACTGCCGTTGATCTTTCGGAGCTCCATGTAGATTATTTCACCTGGTTTCAAACTGAAGCCAGAAGAACTTTTAGACATCTCGTCCTGGAAAGGATGAAGAATAAAAAAAAATTAACAAAGCTTTGCCAAGAGGGTCTTCACATTAAAAAAGTGATTAGTTTTGATACATTCCAGAAGTTAACTGCATTACTATAAATCACCTGAATATCCAGAATGCGGACCACAGGTATGTGCATCCGTTTGTTGATTTTAGGGGCCATGATGTTGGAGAGGGTCTCCTCCAGCTCCTCCATCACAGGTCTGTACTCGGCGCTCAGTGTGCTTTGGGAGCCAAAGCTTCTTTCTAGCATCATTCCTAAATTACTTGGAGCCAGTGAAGTCTTGCTGCCCCGAAGATCCTCTACTCATGAAAAAAAGCATGAAGATATTGACTGACAGTTGTTTTAGGTTTAAAGGATTAGTTTCACCCAAAATGAAAAGTTCTGTTAGTAATTAATTACTCACCCTAATGTTGTTTCAATCGTCTGAGACATTTGATCAACATTAAATTACAAATAAGGATATTTTATGTAAAATCAGAGAGTTCCCTCATACTTTATAGAACTGAGATGTTCAAAGCCCACAAAAGAAACTAAAAATAAATATATCAAAACAGTCTATTTGACTTCAGTTGCTCGACTGCAATCATGCAAAGCTCCCCGAACAATATTTTGCGCCAAAAATGGTAAAAAGGACTTTGTTCACTTATGTCTCCCACATTAGATCAGGCTTAGCATTTACTCTAAGCAAAACATTGCTTATGTGTTTCGCTGCTGACTCTAATGGCAGTATGTTATGCTCTTAGTAAAGACGCACTTTGGCAACCAGATGAGGAAGAGAAAAAAATGGCAAATAAAGTCGTATTTACAATTTTTGGTGCACAAAGGTGTTCTTGTAGCTTCGGATGATTACAGTCAAATCACTGAAGTCACATAGAATGTTTAGCCATGTTTTGATAGCTTTTTTGGACTTTGAATATCTGTGGACAGTTGCTGTGCATGGAGGATGAGGGAGCTCATTCATTCATTGATTTTCTTTTCAGCTTAGTCCCTTTATTAATCTGGGGTTGCCACAGCGGAATGAACCGCCAACTTATTCAGCTTATGTTTTACGCAGCAGATGCCCTTCCAGCTACAACCCATCACTGAGAAACATCCATACACACTCAAGCACACACAAACACTACGGACAATTTAGCTTACCCAATTCACCTATACCACATGTCTTTGGACTTGTGGGGGAAACCGGAACACCCTGTGGAAACCCACGCCAACACGGGGAGACATGCAAACTCCACACAGAAATGCAAACTGACCCAGCCGAGACTAGAACCAGCAACCTTCTTGCTGTGAGGTGACTGTTCTACTCACTACGCCACCATAACGCCCTGGATGAGGGAGCTCTCAGATTTAATTAAAAATATTTTCATTTTTGTTCTGAATATGAACAAAGGTCTCAGGGGACTGGTGCGACATGAGAGTGAGTAATTAATAGCAGAATATTCAATTTGAAGTGAACTAACTCTTTAAGGGTGAAATATGCATTTTATATCACCAAATCTAGTTGCAAAAATATAGATGTAATGCTCTCTTATAGTTGTCTCAAAACATTAACATGCCCCATTATGCTTTTTCAGATTTTACCGGTCATGCAGTGTGTAATACAACTGTTTGTGCATGTAATAAAGTAACTATATTTGAAAGTTCAAATTGATCAATAAATGAGGTTTCTAACTCTGTAAAACATTGTATCAGTATTTCCACAAATACTCCACAAATATCAGAACAAAACTACAAAATTTATATAAATTTTATTTAATTTATATACTGCTGCTATAATAACCCGGTACTTATAATCCCACCAAGCAATTTTGTATTTAAAAGAACTCTACTAGACATTTACAGACAAGCCAAATTTGGGCTTTCAGTGAAAATCTAATAGATGTCCAACAATACTCCAATACTAGACTAGCCATCAAATAGACAGATATCACATGTGTATTCATTCATTCTTGTCTATTGGATGACTAGTCTAGTTTTGACATCTATTAGATTTTCACTGACAGCAAAATTGATCCATGTTTTACCCTGTATGTTTAGACGTCAATTGGAAGAATAATAGACTTTTTAATACAAAAAAAAGCAGATATTTTTAGTTGCGGTGTAGTTGACATACAAAGTCAATTTCATGCTTTTGAAGGATGTATTTTTAATATTGAAAAACTATACACATTTCATCTTTATTAATGAATTACAAAGTACAAAAAAAGAAGACATACGTTTGGGTTGAGACACTATAAGCTCCACTTCTTCTGGGCTGTTCTGGAGTATGGAAGCTGCTATATTAAAAGTCACCCCTTCTAGACTGATGTTATTCAGAGAGATCAGCCGACCACCTAAAAACACACAAACAAAAAGAAGCTGAGATTCTTTATTTTCTTTTGACATACAAGAAGGCAATAGCTTGTATTTTACCTGGTCTAATTCTCCCATCCTTATCAGCTGGACCATCGGGAATGATGGATGCAATAAAAATTCCAAGATCTAACTTCCCTGTGTTGTCCTCCCCGACTATTATGAAACCTTTGCAACAACAGGAATATTTGTAGCACCATTATAGCAAATGCTTAATGTTATATTAAAGATGCTTGCTTCTTTTTACTCACCATAGCCAAGTTTGGGATCCTTCTTTAAAGTGACACAGATGATTTCTCTCTCTGGGGTTGTTTTTGTGGGTGTGTCCACTGCATAAAAAATAATTCATTAATTAAAATAAAGATACATAAATAAATACACAACAGAAAGAAGGAAAAAACAAAAAATAAATAAAACAAAATAAATACATTTATATTTCATAATGTTAAGTTGTAAGAATAACATCATAGCTAAATATTTGTGTTCAAAATGTCTTTAAAAAAATAACTTTTTCAATTAAAACCAGAGAGAGAGTCACTGTTTACCTCTTATAGATGAGGTAGTGGAATGAACCTCTGAGTCCTGCTTTTGCAAAGAGACATTGGACATGATGCGATAGACTGGGGGACTGAAGGTTTCCAGTGGGCTGCATTAAGGAAAGATCAACACAACAGTTTTTTAATATATAGATTTGGTTGTGTATTGGGTGTACAGAGTAAATCGATTAACTTACCTGCTGCTTTGGCTCTGATCTTTTGGTTCACAGGGTGCTCTCGATTCAGGACTGTAATTTACTTCATTCTGTTGCCGGATCCGAACTCCAATTTTCGCCGACAGGTCATCGCAAGACTTGCTTATAGAGTCACTTGGCAATCCATTCAGACCAATATTATTGAGCACAATCTCTGAGCAGGACAGCCTCTTTATCTGCTCGTGTCGAGCACGGCATATGGATGTATATTTTGCTACGCTGTCATCTAAAAAGAGATATAGGACAAATGATTTATTATCAGTTAGAGTTAGGGTTATTCAGTTCAGTTTATTATATAAGAATTATATAAGAAGTATCGAGACTCAATGAGACTGACAAAAAACAAAAGCCCTAACAGCAACTAACTAATTAAAAAGAAAAGAAAGATTTAAACTATAAAGTCACTTATAAAATAGTCTTATAGTTTAAATGTTAGAGTTATTTAATAAAGAATCATTTATATATAATATATATAATAATTAATATACATTATATATATATATATATATATATATATATATATATATATATATTTTTTTTTTTTTTTTTTTTTATCCAAAACCTAATAAATAAATAAATTTATAGAGTTCTGTGGCTTCAAATTACTTCAAATAATTCTCCAAACCTGAAGCTAAGCAGTAGGTCAGCTGGCGTGAGGTCATCTCACTGTGAAACTTGTGTTGGGCCGAGCACAGGTTCAGGAGGTACTGTGCGATTTTTGAGCTCTCCGTCACAAACGAGTGCTTCTTTCCACTTGGGCTGCACTCAATGGTAAATTTTCGTCTCTATGAGAGAATTATTGGAAAATCATTCACCCAAAACATCACAAAGGTGTTTTCATCCATAAAAAAAGCCTGTTACTGGATTTCATGAAGCAATAAAAAAAGCCAAATGACAGCCAAAACTCACACTTGTTGAGAGACTGTCAGTTTCTGTCCAGTGAAATCTGCGGCTTAACATCCGAGAATTATTCTTGACTTCATAAACCAGAATTCCTTTGGCACAAATTCCCAAAACCAGCTCTCCAATAATAGGTTTCCGTTCACGGGCAACTCTGTGAAACAGCACCCCATACTCTGGTAGTTGCTGTGCAATCTATAAAGCCATAAAAGTTTATATATGAATATATTTAGGACTAACATCAAACATCCAGTCATTTGAACGACACCATTTTTGTATATGAAGTCATTTTAAAATTGAAGAAACCTTTAAGAACTCCGTCTCTGCCTCCTCTGGAAGCATTTGGGCATTATTGGCATGTAACCTTGGCAATTCCTCTCTCAAACAGGGCAAGGCCACTTTCTCTATGACTCTCTTAGAGATGTACTGCTCCGTCTGGAAATAGTTCTTCCCGTAAACCTAAACAAAAAAGTCAGAATGATATTAGAGAATACTGTCTAGTTAAAAGTTAAACTGACCATTAATATCTGACTCACTTCAGCCATATAATCTCCAAACTCAGCCTGCAGTGCCAGCGCAGCGAGAAACAGCGCCGTCTCCTCATTACAGTGCACTCTGTCTTCCAGAATATCTTTCCTCAGCTGGAGATAATATTGGTGTCGAGTATGTTTATGTCTTTTAAAATAATTAGAGAAAAACTGTGAGCATCAGAATAAAAGAAAAGAGGAACAATGCAATGCAATATATATAATGGCCATTAAAGAGCACCTCAAATCTCTTGTCAAGTTTTTTTGGGTTAATTTTTCTAAACAAAAACTTCTTCAAATGTATTTAAAAGTTTGAGGCTGTTTGTTTGAGGAAGAAATTTTACTCAGACTAAGGCCTGTTGACATGATCAAAACATTAATATTGCATATTGCATACACTTAACTATTTCTATTTTAATGTACACTACCTGACAAAAGTCTTGTTGCTTATTCAAGTTTTAGGATCAACAAATAATAACCTGACTTCTAGTTTATCATTTGGTATCAGAAGTGGCTTATATAAAAGATAAAGGGCCAAAATAAGCTATAATTATGTTTTGATTTTAAATAATTTAATTAGGACAGTAAGGTCTGACTTTGCTTAGACAAAAGTCTTGTCACCTAACAGAAATTATGTACAGTATAGAATATAAAGGCATAGTGCCATGAAAAAATAATTATTATTGTATATGACTCCCTTGAGCTTGGAGGACTGCATCCATACATCTCTGCAATGACTCAAATAACTTATTAATAAAGTCATCTGGAATGGCAAAGAGTTCATCAAGCTTCTTTGGATTCATCTTCAATGCCTCATCCATCTTAACCCAGACATGCTCAATAATGTTCATATCTGGTGGGTGGGCTGGGCAATCTTGGAGCACCTTGAACTTCTTTGCTTTCAGGAACTTTGCTGTGGAGGCTGAAGTATGAGAAGGGGTGCTATCCTGCTGAAGGGTTGCCCTCTCCTGTGGTTTGTAAATGTAATGGGCAGTACAAAGATACCTCAGGCTGTTGATGTTGCCATCCTCTCTGCAGATTTCTCACATGCCCTCATACTTAATGTAAACCCAAACCATGATTTTTCCTTTACCAACTTGACTGATTTCTGTGAGAATATTGGGTCTATGTGGGTTCCAATAGGTCTTCTGTGGTATTTGTGATGATTGGGAAGCAGTTCAACAGATGATTCATCAGAAAAATCGACCTTCTGCCACTTTTCCAAATGGTCAACTAGAAGTCAAGTTATTATTTGTGGCTCTTAAAACTGGGATCGACAACAAGACTCTTGTCCGGTAGTGTATATTTATAAAATGAACGCATTGTTATAATGGCAAAGATACATTTTTCAACAGGCATTAAAATACTTCAGTTTTTAGTGTCACATGATCCTTTCAAAAACATTCTAATGTTAATTTTAAAATCTTTTATCTTTATATTATATTTGATTTATTATCTAATTATCCAAGAAAAAAGCTGTGCAGTGCACTATTGTGGAAATTGTGAAAGAATAGCATTATATATATATATATGCCATTAATATAAATACATATACCATTATAAACGTTTTACATTGTACTTGATATGCATCAAAATGTATTTTTGCCATGAAAAGGGCCACACAACGTCAATTCTGACATCTTCAACCAGACAATAACATGATGATGCATGTTTAAACAGCAGAAAATGACATACAGAATGTAGGAGATGTCATCAGGGAAAAATCTGACACGAAGATAAAGTGTAAATGTCGCAGAAGCCACTTTCTTCCAGTAATCAGGAGCAACCTTTGAGATTTTTGTCTCGGGGTCCAAGAAGAAAAATTCACCATCTATATGAGAACACATAGTTAATGCTCAATCACTTGTACAAGTCATTAACAACACACAACAGCATGCCAATTTGACACAAAAAGATTGCTTTACCATCAATGAAAGCAAGGCCAAAGTAAAAATGCTCCACAAGGTTAGCGTGTGCCACAACCATGTCGAACACATCCCTCCCTCGGGACTTGATGTCACATTTCACTGCCACACACTGTTCATTTGGCATGATCACGTTAACCTCCCTCTGAGACAGACCTGACTTGCCTTTCTTCGACTGTATCGATTGAAAGAGGAAGGGAGAAGACGATGAATGTACAAAGATTCACAGTTTGCAACCTCAGAATGCCCAAGTGCATTATACTGTACTGTATGTTCAACCCAAAATACTGAAACACGGTTTACCACTATAGACCCCGGCAGCTCTAAAATGATTTGAGGCTCATCGTTCATCCTGGTAAACTCAGGTCCAAGACTCTACAATTAAAACATAGACAATTAGCAACTACTGAATTAGCCTGGGATTCTTATTTTAGTATAACACAGATACTAAGTAAATTACCTTAGCTTTTCTTTGGGACAGACTGACTGCAGACTCACTCACAGTAATGCAGGGACTGGAAGGTCGGACTTCACCTTTGTTTGGAGAGTTTAGACACGAACTTCGTGACCAAAAACTTGTGCTTCGTCTGTTGTGAAGACCCAGAGGATTTCTTGCATAACAAAACACCAGAGAGTCACATTTGCAGTGATAATACTTTTAAAAGTGTTTTTCAAATACTAACCTAGATGAGCTCTGGTAGGATGTGGTCTGACTAGGTCTGCTTTTGAGAGACCAGGTTTTCTGGTGATGAAATATTCCTAAAAATGATAAATGAATCAGTTAGACTTAATGATTAATGATTTAACCCTAATTATAATGACTACTGAATTGAGAAATGTAACAATTTAACTTCGGTTAAACAGGGAAAATAAACTAAATATACATTTAAACCACTGTATCCATGTATATGATGCATATTTGTTAGTCATAAATGAAACAGGTAGGAATATTTATGATTTATTTATGATTGCACTTTAAAAAAATCGGGGCAAAACTTTTACATTTTAAATCTATTTCAAAATGCACCTATTCCAGCTACTTAAAAACAGTTAAAATATCTTCACTGCATGACAATTACATTTATTCAGTTAAAAACATACAATACAGACCTTTGCAAATAAGCAATGTTGAGTTTAAATTCACAAATTATACAAACTATTTGGATAAAACAGGGTTATTTAGCAATTAAAACTAATTCTGTTTAACAATTATATTACAGAAATTTCACAGAAGCCTCTATATCACGTATGACCTTAATATATGCCTAATACAAAACTACTTATGTAAATCTATATTGAACTTTACTGTAATTGCACATTTCTATTTTGCAAATTTAGTCCTGATTATTTTTGAGTGGTTATTTAGTAAATTCTGTAAGTTTTTTTTATTTGTATTTCTATTTTAAATAAATACTCTTCTTTTGAATTTTATATTCTATTTTTTCTAAGTATATTAACAATAAATATTTCTTTAAATAAACCCTAATCAGAATAATGAGATTGATTTCAGAAGGATCACATGATGGTGAAGACTGTGGTAATAATGCATAAAAATCATTGCAATTCATTTTAATTCATTTGGTGCATAAGAGGCATCTTAAACAAACACTTAAAAAATGACCTCAAACTATTAAACAGCTTACCTTGCTTTGGCTCAGAGTCCAGAGACAGTCTGCGAGTCTCTCCTGCAGCTCCGTTCATCTCCGTATAACCAGAATATGGTCCACGTTTACCTGTTAAATAGAGATACTAATACTGTATACTCACTTTAAACTGCACAGGTTACACAATCGGGAAAGCAGCCAATCAGATCACGTTACAGGTTTGTGTTGAGGCATCAATGCTTTGAGCCCAATTACAACCTTTTAAATCCCATGTTCAGTTTAAGGTAAACCATTAATCCTATAGTGGAAACTACAGTATTTCATTGGTGCCATGGTTACAAACATTTTGGTCAAACCTCCAGGGTTGGATTTTAGGATAAACATAGTAATTGAATGAATATGTCTGGATTACTGTTGATATGGTTAGTTATGGATACAGTTGAAGACAAATGCGCAATCTCAACACCCACTTAGAATTTTCACGCAAAGGATTTGACCTGCAGATAAAAATATGACAAGCTGAAACATTTCAATAAACACTAGATCAACTTATATTTGCATGTATGCATTGAATCACAATATGCATATACTGTAACACAGTCATGAAAAAAATTCATAGACCACCTGAAAATGATTAAATTATCTGGATTTGTGGTTTATATTAACAAAAATGTAATTTTTGTTTTATTCTGTACATATTCTATGTTCTATATTCTTGCAATATTTATTTAAAGTTTAAAGGGGTGGCCCAGTGTATTTTAAGGCTTGGTTGTGTTAATAAGATGCAAAGCAATGTGTGCTCATGCTTCATTTGTAAAAAAAAAAATATATCCCATTTTGATTATATACTGCTACTCAGCCAGCATGAAAACGACTGTCATATTTCCTAGATCCTCCGAAAGGCCCGGGCTAAAGAGGCTCTAATGTGATCTCATTAACCCAAATATATATATTTTTGTAGTCCCCAAAACTTCATTTACTATAGGCTTTGCTAAGTTAACTCTGTAAAAGCCAATGTCTCCCTTTGCATTGACCTTTGAGCACATTGCATTCAGAGATGTTGTTTATGTTCACATTAAACATGAACTAAAGTTAAACAGAATATCATAGTGGACCACCCCTTTAAAAAAAAACTTTTGAAGAAAGTCGCCATTTGAAGCATTTTTAAAAAAATAAATTAACAACAGGAGTGCCATGTTTTCAGAAATAAAAATAATAATTATTAGACAACACAATACTGAAGGTTTTTACCTTAGAAGAGTTGATACTGTGAATCGACAATTGGGAGGTTAACCCTAATTTTCAATCACAAGAAATAAAAACTAGCTTTTCTTAAAGAAAAGAAAAGAGAGAATATAAATTTGGAAAATGTTGAAAAAAACTTCAAAGATTAAAAGAAATCTTAAGATTTTACTCAAAAAAACATACCTAATAAATCCAGTAAATCCACAGAAACAGATCATTTTAAGTGGTCTCTTATAAATAATATAGACATGCATTATATATAAATTTTAAAAATCATAAAAAAATTATAAAACAGAAAAATGTCTATTATATTAATTTTGCAAGAGTTCTTACAATTTCCTGAAAACAATTTTTTTGTAATTCAAAGGGATTCCTACCATGAAGTCTTTCTCTGATCATTTGACTTTTCCCACTCAACTGCACAACATTTTCAGTTAAAGCTGCTCGATCCACCTGGAAATTAAGACTTTGTTAAATTTTTATCAGCTTATATTCTAAACTAATTAAATGAAACAGTTTGAGGCCTTTTTAAACTCACAGATTCTTGAAGGACATCCTCCACCAGCTGTTTGATGACTTTATTAGGAGGAGGCAGGAGAGATGCTTTGTGGTGTGATTCGCAGACCTCCAGGATGGAGTTGAGGTTAGTTCGCCGATGGGCCATATCCTCACACATGCTCAGCAGAAGGCAATTCAGAGAGTCACTGAGCTGAATGGGCTGAGCAAGCACAAAACACATTTACACTACATTTTCTGATGGAAGGTGAGCAGTTTAACGTAGCTGGATCATCAATCTTTTACTGACCTGGTTTTGAGGGAGATGATAATCAACTGACCAGTACAGAGTCATACCAAGAGAATACACGATTATCTGGAAGAAATGGTACAAAAGTCATCAGTATTTCCTCTGTGGACATTTAATTGTAGCACAGTTATAAAAAAGCATCATTTTCTAAAATAAATTAATAAATTATTTAATTTATACATTTTAAACAAATGTTGTGCTAGGTGATTAAAAAGATGTATGTCATGTCATTAGCTCATAAATTATTTAATTTTACTCTCAACTGATTGAATTAAAGGCTTAGAATAAGTTTATCATGAAATTTTCAATGAGATGAAATTCACATTTTAAAGTGATAGTTCTGTATAGAATTTCAGTTTATTCATCATTCACTATGAGTTTCATTTTTTCTGTTGAACACAAACCCTTTAACCACTGGTTATCATCTATTCCAAAAATACTATGAAAGTCAATGGTTACTGATGTCCAGTATTCTTTAGAATATCTTCTTGTGTGTTCAACAGAAAAACAAAAACAGGTTTGGACAAATAGAGAGTAAATTATGACAAAAAAAATGATTTTAACATTGTATTAATTATTAGTGTTTTGCCTGATACATCCTGAAAATGTGAAATCAAAACATTTGTATCACCCCCTAGTGGCTGGCAGCAATATAGGTCATAAACAAGCATTCTCCGTGCAAGGAATTGTAATAAACAAAAATACAAATTTACAAATAAATACAAATTTACATGTAATTTGTGAGTGTGTGTGAAAACGTAACATTCTGTAGTGTATTTAGTGATTGTTTAATGATATTTCAGTCATCATACAGTAAAAATCCTTCATCTTCTCATCAGTAAGATTGAGTTTTGGACATCTTCTTGGACACTTTTAATGCTTCCAAGCTTTATTCTGCATTTATAAAGCTCAGCTGAGTATGGTGCAACTTAGGTTCTATTTACGATTTGATTGGACAGGAATCACAGGACAGATTTGTTTCTATACTCAGCCAATTGCCATAGACAAGAAAAAAAATTGTAGTGACTGCAGGTTGAAGGAAAGTATTGGAGTAACAGTACCAATACATCACTAAAAATGTACTCAAGGAAAACTAAAAGTACACATTTTTAAAACAACTTAAATTACAAATCCTGAGGAAAAACTGCTCAATTACAGTAATTTGGGTTACTTTACACCATGGGCCTAATCCACAAACCCTAAAACGTTACTATCAATCTTTTTTTACACAGAAGGTCAGCAAACCACAGCTGGCCCCTTTACTGTAAATATGAATCACATTTTTACAATTTAGAAAAAAACACCTAAGATGTATTTCTTTGACAATATACTTTAAGACAAACATACTAGCTTGTCTAAAAACCCCTGGATGTCTTTGAACGAAGCTGACCTTCTCCATGGCGAGCTTGGTGGAGACAGTACGGCCTTGCAGCATCTCCGGGGCGGTGAAGGCACACACCTCATCTGTCATTGCACAGTTCTTAAACGCCAGTGTCCCAGTGGCGGACAGCAGCAGTGATGCAGGAGTTATAATGTTGCAGATATTGTGACCTAGAAAAACAAACCCACGCTCATTTAATTTTGCATGGACTGCGCTCTTCATCACTACAAGATAAAATACAAATCTGCAAGGTCAACGTTTTACCTTTGTAGGAAAGATCTACGAGTGATTCAGCGGAGCCCAGCAGGAGGGACCAGACCTCGTCCTCCTCCAGCGGTCCTCCTCTGGCCTCCAGCACCTCGGCGAGGGTCACAAACGTGCTGCTCATCCTGCCGAGTCACGAGACAAATACCTGAGGAGAAGAGAGGGGAAAAGTCTGCTGCTGATGGAGGTGGAGAGAAATCTGCCAAACGGAAAGGATGGAGCTGAAACTAAGTGATCATCGGGGATTCTGATGTCATCGCCAATGCTTCATAACAATATTAAATGTTATACATTATTTATATCGTCTGATGTGTAAATCTAAATCTGTCTACTGTGATCTATTCTGGTCTTTTGCTGACTTCATTCCAGCTATCAAAAGAACCAGCTTAGGCGGGAATGTGCCAGCTGTTTTGCATAATCACTGATAGTTAGATCTTTTAGTCTTCAGTTTCAGGTAGCCTAATTTTTAGAGAATAGCAAACTACGTATTTGCTTGTACTTGTATTAGTATTATTAGTGAATCTGACGTTTTCACTGGTTCAGTATTCACATTATAATATAGGCTTATATTTCTCTGGACTTCTAATTTATTCATTCATTCATTTTCTTGTCGGCTTAGTCCCTTTATTAATCCGGGGTCGCCACAGTGGAATGAACCGCCAACTTATCCAGCAAGGTTTTACACAGCGGATGCCCTTCCAGCCGCAACCCATCTCTGGGAAACATCCACACACACATTTACACACACACTACGGACAATTTAGCCTACCCAATTCACCTGTACAACATGTCTTTGGACTGTGGGGGAAACCGGAGCACCCGGAGTAAACCCACGCAGAGGCAGGGAGAACATGCAAACTCCACACAGAAACGCCAACTGAGCCGAGGTTCGAACCGCGACCTTCTTGCTGTTAGGCGACAACACTACCTACTGCGCCTCTGCCTCGCCCTCTTCTAATTTATGTGTTCATTTATTTTTTTGTTTTGTTCTCTGAAATTCTATAAAATAAAATAAAAACATTGTCATTTAGAGCATAAATAATACAAAGAATGCGTCAAAATAACAAAGAATGCCATGTTTTTAAAGATGTCTACATTAATTATTAACAAAAACTATATAATAAGAGACTTTGTTATTCATAAATATTTCCATTAACATTTAGAAGAGTACAGTAATTAAAGCACTATTTGGTGTAACAACCATAATTTCCAATCACAACAACTGTAAACATTTGTTATTTTGACCATTGTAATTTAAAAAAATATCTAAATGACAATATTTTTCTTTGATATTGGGAAGTCATCAAACTCTAATTTAATAAATTATGACATTTTAATCAAAAGCATACATATTAATAAAGCAAACGATTTAAATTATTATTTTTTAAATTTTTAGTTAACCTATAATTCTCTTTCTTTTGAACAAATCAAAGTTACATGTAGCTACTCAAGAAAGAAGACAGGGGGAGACATTTCCATTCAAGTGAATGTACATTCCCAAACTTATCGTTAATACTCAGATTTTTCCAAAAAAATAATCCTTGAGGTGACATGCCAGGTCTTTTAGGTTCATTTAAATATTGTTAAAGCATCAAATTTTACTTGTCTATTACTTTAGTATATATGACCAACATAATTTAGTGAAAAAAACAAACAAACAAAAAAAACAAGGACTTTTATTTATTATTTTAGATGGTCCTTGGGGTTTTATCTGTGGTGTATGCATGCATTTTTTTTCTGCTGATACTCTTTCCACTTTTAATCATTCACCACAACAGAAGTAACATTTTCATATGTTGAATACTACAAAATTTACTAAATATAAAAGGAAAATTGCCACAACGAATGCAAATGCACTGAAGAAAAAGATAATTTAAGGACCACTGTAATCTGCCATGTGAACTTAGACAAAATCAGATGTTTATAAGGAGATGTGGACCTAGGCCAACTAACTCACAGTGACTACTCAAGTTAATGTGCCAAGAGATGAAGAGGCATGACCGTACATTTTTAGCAACCACACTTTTACGCTCCTTACTTTAAAAGATCACAGTAAACCAACTGAGATTAGCGTCACAGAGAGCAAAAACACCCACAAATAATGATACTACTCCTGGCATTACTGATATCTCACAGATTTTTAGAATATATTGTGAATAAGTAGCCTAATTTTGAATCACAATTTGAAAAAAAAGTGCTATGACTTTTTAGAAGTGGCTAAAAATATTTTATTTAATGTTAGATTCTAAATATAAGCTTGTTTAAATGTTCACACTTGTGTAATGTATTTACTAACATGAACTATGAATGAACAATGCTTTTACTATTTATTAGTCATAGTTTAACATTTACTAATGCATTATTAAAATCCAACGCTATGCTTGTTAACATTAACAATCACTAAGAAAGAACAACTTTATTTCTATTACATATAGCATTAACAAAGTTGAATAAACATTGTAAAAAATGCATCGTTCAGCATTTGTTTATGTTAGTAAATGCATTATCCAATATTACCTAATGAAACATTATTGTAAGAAGTGTTACCATTTAAATAAGCAAAAACAAATTATTTCAGTATTTGTCATAACATTATGTTGGGCATGTTGTTGTTTGGCTCTTATTATATTAAACCAGATCAGGTCTGATAGATTACAGGTAGATTACACAATCTAGTTAATTACACAAGCTGAGTGTTAACAGGTTGATTCAGCACTTCAAAAAATAGAAGAGCACACCAAATAACTGAACCAGTAGAAAAATACACACTAAATATGATAAACACAATCATTTAAATATGTTATTTAAGAATAACTGCCTCAACATGTTAGACAGAACAAGAAAGATTTGAGCCAGACACAGCAATCGTGCCACTTAAATAATGAGCTTGAACTCCAAAGAAGGTTAAGAAGGACCTGCAGATGTGTATACATAGGTCTGAACTTTACAGGAACATTTCTTTTTGTGGCCTGTTAGAAATAGCATACTTAAGGTCAATAAACACTAAAATACTTAAATATCCATTATATAAAAATGAAATATATATTTTACATTATAACGTGTATATACAAAAATATAAAATATATGAAGATTTCAGATGCAGTGCCGTTAAAAATGAACTAAAATAAGCATTTTTCTTTTTTTCTGTGTGTAGATTCAGTACTTTCATTTTTATGATGATGAAAAGGTTCTTTTCATTGCATTTAAAGTAAAGTAACTTAACATAAACACATGAGGCTAAGAAAAATGCTCATTTTAGAACAAAATGTCTCTTTATCTAAGAGTTTTTATCTATATTTGAACTCTTTATATATATATATATATATATATATATATATATATATATATATATATAATGTTCTGATTGAGATGAAATGTTCTCTAACCGGCTTTTCTAAGAAAAAATAATTATTCCAATACTCTGTAATACAACATTTTTTCCTTTACAAAATAGATTTTAAATATATGCTAAATATGTTTTGTGATTCTAATACACTCTAAATAAATATAGAATTAATTTCAAAACTCATATCCCAAAGTACATTTAAAAATGTAAAAACAGTATTTTAATTAGTCAATTATTAAATAAATCTTGGTGATTCATTCCGCTGTGATAAATCAGAGTTTAAGCCAAATGAATAACGGCAAATGAATGAAATGAATCTAATGTAAATAAACAATTCACTAAATCATATCAAACATATTTCAAACAAAATGTATTTGTAGAAAACATGTGCGTATGTTCAGTTATTTAACTTTTATGACAAAGAATAGATTATTTTCATTCCATTTACAGTGAAGTAACAACAAGAGACTGAGAAAAATGCTGATTTTAGAAGAAAAATTCAGACGCCATTTAGAGGTTTTTGCATCTGAACTCTTAATTTTTTTGTCCAAAAGTGAAATGTATAAATATGTTCCTATTTTACCACATTGGGTAGCTTTTTAATAGCTTTAACCAATATAATAGCCAACCTGATCATGGCAGCGGCATTAATTAATTACAAACAGACTATGTTGTTAATCCTAGAGCATACAACTTTTAAATCAAGACCGATTTATATAATCAAACAAATTATAACAAATGTGTATAATCACCAATCATCAGAATTATCAATAGGTTTTACCTGCTAGCATTCAATGTACTAGGATCCTGATCTTCGTCTGATGTCTTCAGGCTGTGTACACACGCTTTAATCCGGTGGATCACTACGTTTCATTTACCTCCTGTTACCAAGCACCTCATATGACCCAAACACGCAAAATCTCAGCTCTAGCATACTGCAGTATTCTATAATAATACAAAATACATTTACTGATTAACTACACGTGTCTAATCACTAAGATGCAGCAGAAGTCTGCAGACTCTCCAAACTTTTTACTAATTGAACAACTATTCTTAGACTTGAGCTAAGAGCTCAATTGGATTAGATGGGTAGTGACAGAAGAGGATGAGAATGTCTTCCAGACCTTATTTTTATTAACTCCTGCTGTTGTCTTTTAATGCTGTATATATTTATATATTTTGTACTATGATATGCTCTTTATTAAAAATCTTATTGTAGTAGGCTACATTCACATGATAATTCTAAATATTTCTCTTCATCTCAGGTTGTGCATTATAATAAATAACATTGTGTGGTGGTATTGAAACATATTTTGAACAAAATGGCTGCAAGGCCTTTTTCCTGCTAATGCTAGCAAGCATACACATCTTAAATACAAACAATTAGGCATATTTTCTTTCATTTTAAAGGTATTCGGACATTTCACACACTAAAAAACTGTATAATAAACACAAAGGGTTTTACCTGGCTCATATTTCATCTTCTTTACTGTCCGTTTTCCTTTTTGGTAAACAAACACAGTAAGTTTTGAAAAACTTTATTAGATGGCTCAACTGTGGACAATCCTCTTTTTTTCTTGAGAAACATATTTACTTGTTTTCATAATTTGTAACAAATATTAAAGTGATTTATAATAGCTTCACTATTTGTTAAGATTACCATTGTTTAATTATGAAAAATCAAACAACAATCAATTTGAGATCATGGGTTAAGGTTAGAGTTAGGGTTAAGATTTAATTCTAAAAAGGCTATTTAAAATTATATATTTACAAACCCTATATATTTATTAAAATATGTTTTCTTAAATATATTTATTATCATTTAAAAATATATTTTACATTAATGTAACACTGGAAAATCTAAATCTTTATATATATATCGGAAAAAAAGCTCCTTTGGTCACATCCGTAGTGTATAGAATATATTTCTGTTATTAATCTGAAATTATAGAATGCAATTCTTCTAAACCAGAGATGCACAAACTTGGCCACGCAGGCCAAAGTTGGCCCTTTGTATCCTTTGATTTAGCCCACCAGAGGGAAAATGATTGGGAAGCGTTGGGGAATGTATTTAAGAGAGATTCTCATTTCCATTTTAATGTAATCTTTCATTTGTTTTACTGTTGCGCTACAAAACTGAATTTAAATGTTTCAATTAAATGTTGCAAATGAATAAGATTTAAAAAAAAAAAATTACATACTGATACTTAACGAATAGGGGACAAGGCAGGGGACAACAGTGTGCGAATCGAGGCAAATACAGGTTCAGCATGACAATTGTTTGGATTTTTTTTAAATGTTTTTTTTAACTGATTTACGGTAATACGTTTGTTAACATAGTATACTTTTTCAAAAAATGGCAATGCATTAGTACGGTTGAAGTAATTTTATTCTATTTATTTACAAATATGAGGAAATAAATTAGGAAATTACCCATGGCAACTTTAATGTAATACAGTTTGCTATATTTACTTTTAGCCACAACTCTCAATCAAGCTTGAATTTTGGCCTTTCATAAAAATAGTTTTACTCTTCCAGCTGCAACCCATCTCTGGGAAACATCCATACACACTCGTACACTACGGACAATTTAGCCTACTCAATTCACCTGTACTGCAGCACTGAGGGGGAAACCAGAGCACCCGGAGGAAACCCACGCGAACACGGGGAGAACATGCAAACTCCACACAGAAACGCCAACAGACCCAGCCGAGGTTCGAACCAGCGACCTTCTTGCTGTGAGGCGACAGCACTACCTACTGCGCCACCGCTATTTAAAATATATTTAAAATAAATTTTAGCTAATTCGTTTTTGATTACCTTAGGGTTGTAGCTTCTTGTAACAGCCTTGTTTACCCTAATGCCCTAATAAGAATGACTACAAACTGAAAAAGAAAGAAAGAAAGAAAGAAAGAAAGAAAGAAAGAAAGAAAGAAAGAAAGAAAGAAAGAAAGAAAGAAAGAAAGAAAGAAAGAAAGAAAGAAAGAAAGAAAGAAAGCGGTATATCTATGAATAGACCGGCGTGATGGCACGGAAGCGCGTGGGGGTTTGGTGACGTAGAGCGCATGTCGTCCGCAGTGCACGCGAGGCCTGCTGCCAGTGGAAGAAAGCGCTTTCAATAAGGTGAGGTCATGTTATCGACACCAGCAGCAGAATAAGCGCTATTAATAATCGATAGAGCCTTCACCACATCGTTTCTGACGACCCCGGCTATTTAACTGACATTTAGGATACACGGAGCGTTTGTGTTTCAATCGTAGCAGGTAAGTGAGCGTTTTAAGGTGGTTTTATTGCTCGGTATTGTTTCGCCGTGGGGGAGGGTGTGTGTATAAATCAATGCTCATTTTCTCTTCTTTGAATAAAAGTAATACGACAGTTGGGTTGTTTTGAATGATGAGGCGTTTTAGCGTAGAGGCTAATAAGTGAGCCGGGGTCTGTGGGTTACGTGAGATCGCTTACAATGCTATTTGTCAAGCCGCTCGCTTTGCCTGCCACCCACTGTAACTGCACTACACTATACTACTCTGTGTTTGTATTCTGGGTGGAAATTAGTTGGGAAAGGTAGCATGTCAGTGTAGACTGGATTGCATAGGGTTTAGCATGTATGCTACCACTGTCAAAGACCTTGCATACACATGCACACAATCACTATAGATATGTTTTGTGTACATTCATATGCTTCTTAGTACTTTACAAGCCTTTGCTATCATGATCACAACTATGTATATCCTAATATTGAAACTTTTAAATGATTTAGAGACAGGCTGATTGGTTTTCAGTCAGAATTGAACCATTCATTCTGTTTTTAATGAGTAAAAATAATAGTTCTTTAATTATGATTATCAAAAAACAAGCAAAACCATATTTAGTGGCACAAACACAATAAAGTATAACTTCAGAGTTTGTCATATTGTGGAAAAATTTAGTTAACTCAATATAGAACTCAATATTACTATTCAAGTTGTTATTATGATTTAGTAGCCTTTATGTTATTAGTTTTTCCTTCTGAGGCAGTGCTGGATAATGAGTCCACTTGATGTCACTCCAGAACGGATTTATTTCCATTTCTAGATGTTGTAATTCACGTCTGTTGATCATTTCTATTGTGGTGCATACTAATTCTTGTGGTTTTAGATTTGTTTTCCTATAGGAATGCTGTACTGAGAAGTTATGAGTGTTATTAGTCTGGAATTCTTGCTTTCATTGTGAGCTGATTAAAAGGAAAACAGTTTCTTGATTGATTTGTTTGGCTGCATTTCTGATTTATTGTTTCAATACAGTTAAATATTGTTCTGCATATGATAAACTGTTTAATACAGACTATAACTTAACATGCTTGACTATACATGGCTATTAGAACTCAAACTCCTCATCATAAGTTAATTCATGAAGTATTGGCAAAAGTCTTTCTCTCTTGGATCTAAAAGCCATTTCAAACTTTCTTGTTCAGACATATTCAGTTTTACTACCTCTAATCACAGTGAATTGGGTAACTTGAAAACACTGCTGTGACATGTCAGACAAAAATATCCCTGAAATTATGCCATTTGTGTAAATGACAAAAAAAAAAAAAACATGGACTCTCTGTGGAACTGGGTCATGCTGTTAGTCCTGCTGTTCTAACTCGGGTTACGAGCCATTAGGAAACTGCCCTACACTTTGATGGCATATGAGTCCCTATTTTATGTGTGTGTGTATTTCTAACAGCTGTATGCTCTAGTTATTTTCTTTTGAGGGCACAGAGATAAAGCCCAAAGCCAAAATGAGGCTTGAGACCACTCTGTGCTGTCCTTTCAGTTTATTCTGCTGTGCCAGGAAAAAAAGATACTGCAGGAAAAAAACAATCTAATCTTGCTAAATATATCACAACATTATAGTGTGTTTTGTTTCTGTCATCTAGGTTTGTAACAGTCTGCTTTGTCTGGATGCTTACACATCGACTTCACCATGAACAAAAATAAGCGAGAGAAAGAATTCTACAGTGTAGATGTGGGGGATTCGACATTCACAGTGTTGAAGCGCTATCAGAATCTAAGACCCATTGGCTCGGGTGCTCAGGGAATAGTCTGGTATGTTCTAAGAGCTCGTATTCCACCTCAAATCAAGGACGTTACGCTGTCGCAGCATCTTTTCATCCGTTTCATGCATGCTTTTCTCTTTTAGCTCAGCGTATGACAACAACCTTGAGCGAAACGTGGCTATAAAGAAACTCAGCCGGCCTTTTCAAAATCAAACTCATGCCAAACGTGCGTACAGAGAGCTGGTGCTCATGAAATGTGTCAACCATAAAAATGTAAGTCAAGACACTGAAATGACTCGTAACATGTTGCATTTTATCCTGCATCCCATGCGCAGAGCTAATACGCATTCTTGTCTTTTCACTCACAGATAATAGGCCTCTTAAATGTTTTTACACCGCAAAAAACATTAGAAGAATTCCAAGATGTGTGAGTATATATTGCATGTTTATACACAGTTAAAAACGCCAGACCCCAGCTGTTACCCCAACTAATGCTCTCTCACATCCACACACAAACACACCCCTCCCCTTCTCTCTTACCCCCCATCACACCCTCTTTTTTTGTCCCTCCCCTTCCCGCACCTTCCCCACCGGCAGTTACCTAGTAATGGAGCTGATGGATGCGAACCTCTGCCAAGTCATTCAGATGGAGCTGGACCACGAGCGGCTGTCCTATCTGCTGTACCAGATGCTGTGTGGAATAAAACACCTCCACGCGGCGGGGATCATCCACAGGGTCTGTGCTCTTTAGCCTAAAGCCTCTCCGCCTAAAACAAAAAGACTGCCGTACGCAGCCAAGGTTGCACTGACGACGAAAAGCTAAATAATCAGTTAAGGTGAGGGAGGGGGAGGGGTTTCATCCCCTGGGCTGATTACAAAAAGCCAGACCTCTGCCTGCCTGACTGCCTGACTGCAGCTGCTGCTGTGGACTGCATTGCGCTGTTGAGGCAGGGACGTATTGAGAGGGGACAGGAGGAAAGCGATCAAGTGATCCTCCGTAAACATCGCCATCCTCTAGTCCTGTTTCACCTTGACTACGCTCTCATAGAGCATATACAGATACGATTGGAGATGTTTATTTTTCTGTGGCTGTAATATATTTAAAACTGTCTTGACGCACAAGGTCATGTGTTATAAACAGCAACCTTTTGATATTAAATATGCAAATTTAATTTGCAGCCACGGACAATCAAGCATTAAATGAATAAAAATGGTTTCATTCTGGCAGATCGATTGAGAGGAGGTGACACTGAGGGGAAATAATATGTCATATTTTTCAAGGTTAATGGGGCGGAAAGACTCGTTTGTTGAAAGTGGAGTGCAGAACATTGAGTTTTATTCACTTTAGCCCCTGGAAATATATCTGTATTGTTGGTTAATTTCCAGTTTGACAGCAACATAAATTCCACACAGCTTGTATAGGATTATATCAAATACTTCTATAAAAAACTGTTACAGTTGAAGTCAAAATTATTAACCCCCTGAATCATTAGCCTTGTTTATTTTTTTTCCCCAATTTCTGTTTAACAGAGAGATTTTTTTCAACACATTTCTAAACATAATAGTTTTAATAACTCATCTCTAATAACTGATTAATTTTATCTTTGCCATGATGACTGTACATATTATTTGACTAGATATTTTTCATGACACTTCTATACAGCTTAAAGTGACATTTAAAGGGCCATGAAACCCCCTCGTTTCAGCAGGGTGTTTTCACACCTCCACTTTGGAAAAAGTCAGAAAAGCGGGCGTGTCCAGCTCTGTTTAGGGGGGAGTGTCGGAGGAACTAAAGTGGGATGGTGTGGGAGTGTCTATTTGGGCACGCGCGAGTTTCAGTCAAAATACACACACGAGAAAGTGATGGTGTATTTTTTTTTGTCATTGTGTTTAACCTACATGGACATCTGTAGTTGAATTATTTGCCAGATTATTAAATGTTGGACTTTAACTGCAGTTTGGCTCTTTCATTAAGGGAATTCATTCATGCCCCTCGCGACAAACGCGATATTTGATTCGAGGATCTGCTCTAAGCGTGTATTTTTCATGCAATGTTTGATACCGCACGGCGAATGAGAGAAAAAAGCTCCGCAATTCCCGGAAACTTAGATGCACACGGCAGGTAGCGTCAGAAAGCCACGTGTGTTATTCCGGTCACAAAATGCGGTGCTAACAAGTTTGCACTCTGTGCAATAGTTATTTTAATTTGATACGAACAAACTGAATAAACAAAGAGCACTGGTCGCTCACTTACCAAATCTGTAGAGACAGGACAATCACCAGCAACTAGAGCCGCGTCTTTATGAAGAGAATACTACAAGCAAATCCGGATTTCAGCGTTTGCTGATGAGAACAGCTCTCAGGTAAACAATGTGCCTCCTTAGACACGTAAGTTATTGTTGTCGAGCGTCGCGTACACTGTTAATCCACACGTGAGTCTGAGCTCTCACAGAGAGAAAAGGAAAACGAAACTTAATGGCAGCAAACTATAAAAGCAACACTCCACGCTTGTTTTGCCAACACAACGTGGCGTCTCTGGTGTAAACAGTGACACTAATGAATATTAATGAAGTTGCAAAATAGAGCGCGCTGATTGGTTTGAACCAAGCCTTACTCATGCATTAATGCATCACACTGTAAGACGTAATAAGACTCACTCTGGCACAGACGCCCAGTCAAAACAACCAATTTACACTTTTTAGTGAAATATAGGTGTCCTAATAGTGTTTTTAGCAGTGTGGGACACATATACGACTATCAACAGCTCAAAAAATGTGTTTTGGTGTTTCGTGACCCTTTAAAGGATTAACTAGGTTAATTAGGTTAACTAGGCAGGTTAGGGTAATTAGGCAAGTTATTGTATAACAATGGTTTGTTCTGTAGACTATCGAAAAAATTGCTTAAAGGAGCGGATCATTTTGACCTTTAAATGGTTGTAAAAAAAATAAAAGCTGCTTTTATTTTAGCGATATAAAACAAATAAGACTTTCTCCAGAAGAAGAAAAATCAGACATACTGTGAATATTTCCTTGCTCTGTTAAACATCATTTAAAAAATATATATAAAAAAAGAAAAAAATTCAAAGGGAGACTAATAATTCTGACTTCAGCTGTATATGGAAAAAGCGATATATTTTTGACATTTAAATTTGAACATGGTAGCTACTGCCACATGTCTAGGCATGGGAGGATGGCCGTTTTCAAGGTATACCATGGTTTGGAAAAGTCAAGGTTTTAGAACTGCCAAAATATTCTGCTATACCGTTACTACAGTAAATGTAAGACATTTTTATTTATGTTTTTTTAAGAACAACAGTATCTCTAGCAGAAAAGATACCCAAAGTTGCCGTTTTAAATTGTAATGAAATCTGTGTTTTTAATACTAATGAAGACAGCAGAAGCCAATGATTAATTTGAATCATTTAGCCTGACACGTTTACTGTTTCAAATTATTTTAAATATTGTTTCTCAAAATAAAATATATTGTGTTCAAAGTGAAATAAATTTTTAGTTTTATACCTAGACATTTAAAAATAATATATTTTAGAGCAGCAATCACAATTCCATCAAACCGTGATTTAAAAAAAAAAATTCATCCAAGGTTATCATTCTGTCAGAATCTTATACTGGTCCATGCCTACACATGTTCAAAGGTTATATTTTGTTTTGAGGTTATTCTTTTATTCAGTAATTTATTTAAATGATGATTAATACAACACTTGGACTTCATATTCCTCAATAAATAAATACAAATTAATAAAATGATGGTAACAAATGCTTATTGATCCATATTTAATAGGAAGCAGTAATTTTTAATTCTAATTATGTTATTCGTAGTTTTTGTTGTTCTGTATATTGAATTAAATAAAAGCTGTGGTTTGTGCACATTACTTTTGGAAGCACTTAAACAAATCCAACCAATTCCTAACCATTGAACAATAGTGTATATTACCACTTGGCATTTTTTTTATTTTTTTATCTGTCTTTTTTTTTTCTTCATCATGTTTTATCAGACATTTTCTGAAGCATAACTTAATTAGAAGCTTGTTGTCCCACCACTTAGAGGACATATAAAATAAATATATTGTATAAGGAAAACTTCATGAATATCCTGACAATATGTATTGAGGAAAAAATTACACTGAACATTAATTACAACAATATTGTTTTTAATACACCGTGAATAATCCCATAGTATCTTAAATCAAAGAAAATTTTCAAAATTTGATGTGAAAATGCAAAACTGACTTGTACTCTGTCTTGCGATTCTTTAGGACCTGAAACCCAGTAACATCGTGGTAAAGTCAGACTGTACCCTGAAGATCCTGGATTTCGGTCTGGCGCGGACAGCAGCTACAGGTCTGCTGATGACACCATATGTGGTGACCCGTTACTACAGAGCCCCTGAAGTCATCCTGGGAATGGGATATCAAGCCAATGGTCAGTGCTGCTGACAAGCTGCAGAATGCCTAGTTGGCACATCCTATGCATGCTTAACGCCCAATATCATCCTCGTGTTGCAGGTTTCATTTCATGCATTTATAGGCCTCCGAGGCTTTCCTTGCACTAACAGCTTTGTGGTTTCAGCATCAAAATGTTGTGTGAGGAATACCATTTGTGCTCCCTCTGATCAAATGTGACGCTTGGTCCGTGTGTGACGAGTACACAATGGCTTGGTGTGCTCATTCGTTTCTAACCCAAACTGTAATGAATAAAACAAGCTCTTATGCAACTGTACAGAATCACTAACACCCCCTGATTTCCTGCTTAACTGTTTTCTCTCTTTCCCTCTGCTGCACATGCTTAGTGGACATTTGGTCTGTGGGCTGCATTTTGGCAGAAATGGTCCGTCACAAAATCCTTTTTCCTGGGAGGGACTGTATCCTTGAGTCGCGCGAGCGTTAAAGTGCATCATCAATGCAAGGATTGTCTGTTGGCATTTCGAGGAAGTGTTGACAAAGAAGAGTCATGCGGCACTATTGAGCTTGACTTGCCTTTTAGTTTGTTTTCGTTGTCGATAAGTTGCCATTTATTTTGAGATTCTTTAATATTGTGTTCTTTGATGATGCATGCAGTGTGTTTTGGTTGGTTATTGTTTGATTGTAGCCCTATATTATGCACTTTTTTTTTTCTGTGAGGGGTTTTGATTTTTCAGTCTTTCTGGGTAATTTTGGCTTTGCCTTAGGGTTAGTTCTTTACATTGTCACTTGGTGTTTGATTTATTAGTTGTCTTTTATTGGTTTGTGTGTTTGTGTCACATTAAATAAAGTGGTAAGAGCGATTTTTGAAAGGATCAAAATATTAAATGGAGATTGCGAGATTATTCTAAAATCATGCAAGCTGTTGTGTTCTGTTTTTGGCTCTTGTCAAAAGGAACTGACAGTGTTTTCGTTTCCTATTGTAAAATTATTCTTTAGTCATTTCCATTTATGATCTGTTAAGCGTTTTGCATTTTTGAACTGAAAGATTGGTTAATGAAATACTTTGCTAAAAAATATTGCTTTTAAAAGGGTTGCATACATTGATCAAAATTTCAGAATTTTTTTTTTATGTTACAAAATGCTACATTGATAATGAGAAATATAAGCATATTAGAATGATTTCTGAAGTAACGTCACATTCAAGACTGGCCAATGGCAACTAAAAATTCAGCCTTGCCACCACATGAATAAATGAATGTGAATATAGTAAAATTCAACAATTTCACAATATTACTAATTTTACTTAATATTAGAAGACTTGTTTTAAAAACAATTAAAAAGCTTGTCAGCTCCACTTTTGAATAATTAGGAATTTGAGATCTGCGATTGGCGTTGTGAAGGTTTGAGAACACAATGTAAAGCAAGTCATTCTCAAAAAAAATTCTATAAAAATATAAATTTTTAATATATTGTCATGCTCAATCTAAGTTTGTAATATTGCTCAGTATTTGTTTCCTTTATCATAACGGTTGATGAGTCACCATTGTGAGTCACAGCTCGAGTGAAAATGGTCTGACCCAAGTTGCGTTACGTCGTTTGTTTCTGGTTTATTTATAGTTTTGCGGTGATCATTCTGTTACGTCTGTGCTCCATCTTCACTTGCTTTCCCTGCTAGACATGGCAGATTCTGCATGACGCACATCACTTTTCATGCCATCTGATTTCATCTTCATTTTGTCATTCTGCCTCTTCTTTTTTTAGCTCTGTGTTGCATGTTAATTTCACTTTCATTTCATTTTTCAGTGGATGTGTGGTCTGTCGGCTGTATCATGGCTGAAATGGTCAGAGGTAGTGTATTATTTCCGGGTTCAGATCGTATCCTTACCTGTCTATTGTGTGCCATCCATTCCATGTTCATCCCTTCTCTCTATTACCCAGAGTACATTGTTTTTCCATGGCCTTTAGGACCAATTAGATTACTGCTAGTGAAATGTAAAAGAATATATTTATGGTAAGTTTAGTTTACATATTTTAGGGCTGTTTGTGTTTTTCTTAACTCTCTTATGATTGAAGATATTGATCAGTGGAATAAAGTAATAGAGCAGCTGGGAACGCCAACTCAGGAGTTCCTGTTGAAACTCAACCAGTCTGTGCGGACCTATGTGGAGAACAGGCCCCGGTACACTGGATATAGCTTTGAGAAGCTGTTTCCTGATGTCCTGTTCCCTGCTGATTCAGAACACAGCAAACTAAAAGGTACTTCATCTACTTAATGTTTTCAACGAGTGATCTTGTTTTTTGCAGCATTTTTGTACAGTTAGTTTACCCAAAATTGAAATTGTTACTAATTAGTCACATTTATGTCATTCCAAACCCCTAAGACATTAGTTCGTCTTGAGAGCATAAATTAATATATTTTAGGTGAAACCTGAGAGCTCCCTCATCCTCCATAGACAAAAACATCCACCCCCCCAAAACGATTCTTAAAACAGACCATATATCTTACTTCAGTGGTTCTATTTGAAAATTATTAAGCTACGAGAATAATTATGTGCGCATATAAAAGAAAAATGACTAATTAAAATTTGTTCTCTGTGTCAGTATAGGGTGCACAAAACGTGGATTGTATTGGGACAATATCAAAATATAGTGATTACAGGATCTGACTGTTTTTTCAGTGTGGTTGAAATTTGTTACAATTTGCACTACAGCAGATACAATTTGTTTCTTATTTGATACCAAATGTTTCTATATTAGTTACTTTATGAGAAAAGTTAAATGCAAAGGCTGAAACCAAACAGCGCTATTTGTTTGAACTATGATGTAGGAACCATTTATAACTAGCCACAAAATACACTTTATTGTAAACTTAGAGCAAAGTGTGTTTGTTTGCTGACCTTTATGATCACACAACCATTATCAAATGGTGCTGTAAGATCCAGTGTTAGTTAGTGCCAAGTTCTCCAAAAATGTTCAAAACCAAAAATGTTACTGATTTAGTAGGAATTCATAGTCAAATAGTTTTATAGTTTGTTAAAATCCAGCAGCCCCATTAGTTTGCAATAAGGTTGCAATAGTTAATGTTAGTTAATGCATTTACTCTCATAAACAAACAATGAACGATACATATATTACAGTATTTGTTCATTGTTAGTTCATGTTAACTCAGTGCATTAATGTTAACAAGCATGACTTTGGATGTTAATATTGCATTAGTAAATGTTGATCTATGATAAATAAATGCTGTACAATTATCATTCATAATAATTTCATGTTAGTAAATACATTAACTAATGAAACCTTATTGTAAAGTGTGACCAAGTTGAGTTTGTTTAAATAATGTGAACTTGTGAATCAAATTGAATCACTGAATTGAGCCATTGTTGATTATGTATGATCTGGTCAAACTTAGTATTTGTTTTCTCGCGAACATGTGAATGGCACTTAATGGCCTTTTCTATTGATTTTTGAACATCTGTAGTACATTTGTGACAAATACACATTACTTCATGGCACAGAATGTTCTCAATTCCAAGTGCAAAAATGTACAAAGGTACAGGAATATATGATTTCAAAAAAAAAAAAAATTTGATTTTCAAAGCACAGAACATGTATTTGCATCTATTTGTTGCAAATGTAATAGAAAGAAGAAGAGCCAATTTTTGCTGAGCTTGAGCAGAACTTAGATGCAAATTCCATCTGCTCGCAGTTTGTCAGGCATACATGTCTGGACTGATGGTCAGCAAGTAAACATTTACAGTTTGACATTCATCAAAACCGGCTCACTTTTGGGATTGTTTTGTACGTGCGTATGGTTAAGAAAACATTCACAGTTTCCAAACAAACCCAATTTTGATACCATGTTTGAGTTTTTTAGCATTTCCATACATTGTCTTGCTTTTAATTTTGTCATGTATATAAACAAACTGTTGTTTTTAAATGAAATAAAAAATATTTTATTGGCAACTAAATTTATATATTTTATATAAATATATTGAAAAAAATTATATATTTTGGATATTTTTCTTTTCTCCTTTTCATTTCATTTTCACTTGATTTGTTTCAAATGGCTAAAAGGATTCAGTTTGATGGGTTTAGTTTACTATACTAGCTCTTATAGATACTAAATGTTTTTAGGCTACTGCTTAAAACCCTATTCATTTTATTGAGGTGCTATGCCTCTTATTATCATGATCTACTAATGTATGAAAAATTAAGTTGTTGCCATTTTGTAGGGTTGTTTTTAAAAATCAAACCTATATTTAAAATTACTTCTGGTTCCTCAATGAAATCTCATAATAATGCTACTGTCACAAAACATCAAATATAATTAATCTGTAAAATGTGCTGAAGCCAATTCTCTCAAATGTTAATTTGAGCCTTGCAATGCATTGTGTTAGGTCCATCTTAATTAAACGACACGCATGCATGTAGGACAAAGGCAGCCCAATTTGCAATTCTAATCAATTCCAGCGCATTCACAGTGAAGTGGTCTGAATATTCAGCTGTGTGGTCGAGGTGACATGTCGGTGTACTTGACACTATCAGAAGCATCATTAATGCTTTGTACTGTGATTTGTTATGCAGCGAGTCAGGCGCGGGACCTGCTGTCTAAAATGCTGGTGATTGATGCATCAAAACGAATCTCGGTGGATGAGGCTTTGCAGCACCCCTACATTAACGTGTGGTACGACCCGGCTGAAGTGGAAGCGGTGAGCAGATGCAGATTCACACACGCCAAGTACCAATTCACTGCTATTAAGTACACAGGAAAGCTCATTGTGATTTCAAGCCCTTGCAAATTTGAATAGCCTAAAAAAATATCTTTTTTTTTCAATAAAGGTTTTACTAAATGATTTGTCTAAATAAGTTTGCATTCTAATTTTATCTATAAAACTTTGTATTTGCAGAATTTTCTATTTACAAATATGCAAATGTGGATTATTACTAAGATTTCATCATTTCTATAAATGTTAAGAAAAATATTTGGTTGAAATTTTTAAACATGGGTTGTGTTTAAAAAAAATTATGTAATAGTTTTATTAGTTGTAATAATTGAATTCACACTGCAGTTGAAAGGTTTGGTATCAGCCTGATTTTTGAATGTTTTTGATGAAATCTGCTCACAAAAGATGCATTTATTTGATGGGCAGTCTGCCGTAAGTTGATTAAAGTAATAGTTCCCTCAAAAAAATAAAAATAAATAAAACAGCAATTACTCACCCTCTAGTGCAGGGGTGTCCAAACTCAGTCCTAGAGGGCCAGTGTCATGGAGAGTTTATCTCCAACTCGCTTCAACCCACCTGCCAGGAAGTTTCTAGTATATCTAGTAAGAGCTTGATTAGCTGCTTCAGGTGTGTTTGATTGGGGTTGGAGCTAAACTCTCCAGAACATTGGCCCTCCAGGACAGAGTTTGGACACCTCCGCTCTAGTGGTTCCATATCTTTTTGAATTTCCTTTTTCTGTTGAACTCAAACGATGTTTCGAAAAATGTACAACTCCAATTAAAACCTGTTTTAGTTAAATTTTTTTGTTAAACATCTATCATACACCTGCATGGCGCAATAAGGCGCAAGATGTGTTTGGCTCAGTTTTTTGCTATTTTCAGACCAGCGTCACCCTAATTTTCACATTTGGCACCACTTTGTTTAAATAGCAAATTCGTTTGCGCCACCTTATGGACTTATGGGTGTGCTGGTCTAAAACAGATGTGTGTTAAGGTGCATCATTATCGCATTGCTATTTTGAACAACTGAAATAGACTGTGCCATTGACCATCTAAAAGCAGGTCTGAAGTCTAACACAGAGCGTGTTAGTTAAGCACCTATGTGGGTTTAAATGCCTGCATATTGCCTAATAAACACAGGATGTACAGCAATACACAAATATCATTAAATATGAAAAAAATGTTGCAAAAAATATTATTTCCTACATAAATATAAAAACCACGGTCTCTATGCCTCATCTCGGTGGGCTTTTGAAGTTTATTTATGACAATTTGCATTTGTATAATGTTAGTAGTAGTAGTAGTAGTAGTAGTAGTTTTATTTATTATATGCATAATTATATTTGTTTTAATAAAAACAAGTTTAGATTTGTCCACCTGTCGGGTTTTGGAGACGGATGTGTCACTATATGGGGCATAAGACTAGGACGTGTGTCTGGATATAACTATTATTATTGTTCATGTATTTGTTTGCTGATAATTAAAACTAAATTCGGAAATAGTTTTGAAACAAATCTTTGCACTTAACAAACAAAATTAAATATGTAGGCTAATGGATGTCTTCAGTGGAGTGCGTACAACATCTTATCCACAAAAGTAAAGTAGTAAAAGTAAAGAGAAAGTAAAGAGGCTGAATGGAGGAGGCTTGTTCTTTATCCTTGTGCTTTAGATGATCTGTTTTACTGTTTTCTTGCTAGTTAAGCATTCAGTTCTTCCACTTACAAAGTTGTCAAGAGCAAATGCACCATGCAACTGACTCTCAAAGGGAATGGGAGCTGAGACTCTGATTGGTTTATTGCACATTATACTCAAAACACACAAATATCTTACCTATATCTCATTAAGAGAATAAGCACAACCCTTTTAAACCAGGGCACAAAGAGTATTTTTCCATCTTTAAAATAGCAAAAGTGGATTTGGACATGCCCTTAATGCTTCTGCATCTTGTGCTTTAGACTTTGTTCCTACATCTTCAAAATAGAGCCCAAAGGATGTTAATTAAAAAAATGTTTGAAACCTGTAACCACTGACTTACTTTTGAAGTCAATGGTTACAGGTTTTCCGACATTGTTTCAGATGAACTTCTTTGTGTTCAACAGGAAATTGTTCCCAACATTTTTCAAAATACCTTTTTTTGTGTTGAACAATAAAATAAACTCAGGCAGGTTTGTGAAGGTTGAGTAAATAATGACAGCATTTGGTTTTTTTTCTTGTGGACTATCCCTTTTTATAGTCTACAGTTTTACATGTAGAAATAATCTTAATATTATTCAGAATAATATTAGAAATCTTAGAATTCAGAAATAATCTTAATATTATCAATGTTATTAAAATAAACTAAATTGCTGCATAATATTTTTGTTGAATTTTTAATGCCGTTTTATTCAGGATTTTTGCCGAATACAAATAAAAACAATTATTTTAAAATTTTTATCTTTTGTAATAAAATAAAAAATTGCATCACTTTTGAGCCATTAAATATGTCCTTGTTGAATATTGGTATTAATTAAAAAGAAAATACTTTTTCTGGCCTCGTATTTTTTTCAGTCTGTCTAGTAGTTTAACTGATACTTCTACTGAACAAAAACATTGATTTTGTGCTTCCAATTATTATATATATATATATGTATATATATATATATATATATATATATATATATATATATATATATATATATATATATATATATATATATATATACATATATATATATATGTATATATATTAGGGATGTAACGGTATTGTAAATACCGTCATACCGCAATATTAATTTTTTTCGATATTACCGAAGTCGCATGACTCGGTAAAACTATAGGTCTTCTGAGAAAATTTGCTCAGGCGAATGAAGCGAACGGGAGGTAACGAAAACTACAATTGCCATCAGCCCATGCTTGACCATCATCCCTTGCGGCCTGTTGTTGCTACAGATCCAGTAATGCGGAAATGGAGTGTGCTGCTAGAAGCGGGGATGAAAAGAGCTGGAAAACTCTAAAGCAGGTCGCACACCAGAAGCGCCGCTCGGCGCCGCGACACGGCGCGTACATGACAGTTTAAAGTATCACACACCAGACGCGCACATTCGAATGATATTTAAAATGAAACTAATCAGATGGCGCTCTGTGGCGCGGCTGAAAAATGAACTGCGTCCTGAGCCGTCGCCGGGCGCCGCCGACAGCCGCCGACTTGCGGCGCCGGTGTGTGTATCCTGATAGAAACCTATGATTAGAATTCTAAAATACGTGGCGCTGCGCGGCGCGCCGCCGAGCGTCGCTTCTGTTGTGCGACCTGCTCGCACAGTTCAGTCCTGCATTATCTCCGTGTAAGTTCAGACTTCGCAAGTTTGATCAAGGCTGCAGTCTCTTCTTCTCAGTTTGATATGGAAAAGCAGATTATACCGAGGACACGGGTAAATCTTCAAAGGGAACAGTGTACTTTATAACTTCATTCACATCACCCTGGCTTCGTTGTTTCACTTTCTCAACAATAAAATGTAAACATGATTTAAGGAACTGCCTATTTTCATTTTAATATTAGCAACTTAGACAGCAGAAATGTTGAGGCGCCGTGTTGCATGAGCGTCATCTTCACTGTGTGGATATTTATAACAAAACGGAGCCGATAACAACTGCCTCCTTTCAATTTCAGTGAAAATACGAAACATACCCTCTCTTTTGCTGAATATCAGTTTTAATAATCGATAATGGCCATTATAAAAGTATAACATACAATAAGTTTATACATTATAGGAAATAAAGGCAAGCGATCAGTCAATATACAGAATGTACGTGGTTACATTAATCATTAACTTATCTTTGCGCTCAGCCAAAACACGTTACCTGAGAACAAGTAATAGATTCCAATGACCAAAGTCAGGGAATATGTCGTTAGATAAAGACAACAAGATAAATGAAATATCCCGTTTAATAAATATAGTGAGATTAGATCCAGCGGGAGATGCTTGATGAGAAGTCCGACTAGCAGAGCTCTCATCTGGGTAGATGGGCTGAGTGTGATTAAATGTTGAATGTGATGAGTTTTCAACAATACTAAATTGAAACTTTATTTTTTACATGGTTTAATAATTTTTTGTTATTAAAATTGAAGTTCCTGTTTCAAAGCTTACAGATAGATGACTAATTTGTATGTCATTGACACTTTTGGCACTTTTTTGGAGTATTTTCATAAGTTTTGTTTTTTCCTGTAAATGATTCAATAAATACCGTACCGTGACATTCATACCGAGGTATTACCGTACCGTGAAATTCTGATACCGTTACATCCCTAATATATATATATATGTATATATATATATATATATATATATATATATATATATATATAGTTTGCTGCATTGATTTATTTTTTTTTCTTTCTTTCTCAGCAGTACAATCATTTTTGCTTGTCTTTCTCTCTTCAGCCTTCTCCTCTGATCACAGACAAACAGCTCGATGAGAGGGAACACACAGTGGAAGAGTGGAAAGGTAGTTTGTTTTTCTGACTTTAATGTTCGCTGTGTGAAATCCGATGCAAAGGAAAGTGCCAGAGGTTGAGAACGCACATCATTTGCTCACTGCACACGCGGTCGAAATCTTGTCCGCTGGGGTCACCTGATTGAATAGTGTTAATAAGCTCCTCAGCGTGTTTAAATGTATGACGGCAGCTGCTTAAATTAGAAAGATTGATATTTCTTTTGACTCTTGGAAGAGAGAGTGTTCCGGCGATCTTTAGTCCTGCCAGTTTCCATGACTTCGTTCATCTGTCCAATGTTGGAGAGTTACTGAAATTGCATTTCAATTATCTAGTTTTTTGACGGTAGTTCAACTGTTTTCAAGCTTTCCATTTTGTTTTTCCAACTATGTACAAAGGCATAGTGTTGGAATTGGGAATTGGTATTAACTAAACTCATTTAAGCAAAAAATGTGTCAATTGATCAAATAAAATGTATAATTAAACATCAAGTTCACCATCAAGTTAACTTAATTACATTTTTACTAGTTTTACTATTGTCTCCATTTATTTATTTTCACCCCGGTTGATTTATTTAAATTGAACTGAAACTGAATTTTGAAGATGGATATAAAGTGTGTAATGTAGTGTGTAATGTAGTTTAGAAATTTGGTGTTTATTACAGTAGTGTAATTGTACTGTGTTTTTCACCATCAGAACTGATCTATAAAGAAGTGCTGGATTGGGAAGAACGGATGAAGAACGGTGTTATTCGAGGTCAGCCCTCCCCCCTAGGTTAGTTAGATGAGTTTCTGCTGATCAATTTTCTTATATTGATTTTTTTTTTTAATGGATTGAGGCTATATGTATATTGATATATGGCTAAATGCATTATGAAAGTGATATAAAAAGCTCAAACTCTTGAAATTATATGTGAAACTATTGAATTTACATACTATATGAAGGTTAGCAGAAAAACCCAGAATCAGTCCCTCCGGGATTTTATAAAGTCTGATGGTTCTTGAGATCAAAAATATTTTTCTGTATTTTCACAGGAAAACAAAATTGTTGATCAATTAAAGCATCACAAATTCAGGCAATTTAGGCTGCAAATAAGTAAAAATGCTAGAGGGACTGCAGAATAGTCTGTACATAGCATTTCTATTTTTAATAAACTGTATATAAAATGTCTCAGACCATAAAGCCATGTTGAGCTTTTTATATGACATTGTTTATGAGGGAAAAAAACTTTTTAATTATCACAGAAAATGGTTATTTAAAGAACAGCTTTTGTTATGGTGAAAAACATTTTAAGAGTCAAAAACATTTTATCTCTATAAAAAACTGTTGAATGGATAGATTCCATGTACTGTATGTTAAAGGTTCTTCATGGAAGCATCAATGGCTATAACTAATCTTTAATCTTTTTAAGAGTGTATGAAATATTGAAGCTATTCATTCTTTTTTTCTTTTATCTCTCAATGGAAAAATAAAAAAGTTGAAAACAAAAAAAATAAAAAAATGCAATAAATGGATACACAGGAGAACAAAATTTCTTACAATTGCAGACACTAGACACAATTTCACATTTTAAAAAATCCTACTTTATCTCTAGTTAGGAAATCTTAAATTGTCATCAAGTTTGACTATCAATGCTCATGTTATCCAAAGCAACCTTCATTTTCAATCATCAGGTATTGTAATGGTATTGTTAGACTGCAATTACAAGCATTTTTCTTCCATTAGCTTTAGAATAATTTTAAAGTTAGGACAGTCGGGTTGTGGTAGTTGCCCTGAAGTTTGGACTGTTCATATGATGTTTTTTAAAATCAGGTTATGATGTTTCAGTATATTACCACATTCTCATCTGTAGTTTAAATAAGGATGAATTACTCACAGGCGGTTGTTATCGCAGAATAAACATGCTTAATGGTTTTATTCTGCAAAACCAACAGACTGGGTGTACTTATTCCTGCTTATTACATGGCTGCTTCCCACTAACCATAAAAATTTGGCAAAAAAAACATTGTTTTGAGCCATAATAGTTTATTCATTCAACAAATAAAGACAAAAATGACAAATGAAAATGGGAGAATGGAGCACACGTTAACTGTATTATTTAGTCACAAGATGTTACTAACCAGGGATGGTTGTTGTATAAGAGTGAAGAGTTTTGTTCTGCGAGAACAGCCACTTTGATGTACTTTATCCTGCTTATTACATGGATGCTTGCCACAAAATGTAAAAAATACACACACAACGTTATTCTGAGCCATAATATTCATTAGGAAAAACAGAAACAAAAAGGCTGAAAGGAGCATACGCTAACCTATGTATTATTTAATCACAAAATGGTGCTAAACAATCAAAAACAGTTGTGAATTTGTTTAAGCAGTTCAGTCAGAATCAATTATTGCAGACAGACGTGTAATAAGATAATACACTTAGGAAGTGCTGAAATGAGCAGATTGCATAAGCTTTTAAAGTTATGAAACTTCTGTAATACACCCCCTGGTTTACATTTCTATTTTTGATTTATATCTTTAAATTTTAATACATTCCGAATAATAAAATGCATCTGTTTCGTATTGCGATCATCTGGATACAGTATAATGTCCGCTTCTGCATTTATAATGTGAGTGACGGCTTTGTTTGTCATAGCACAGGTGCAGCAGTGATCAACGGCTCACCCCAGCCCTCATCCTCATCCTCCATCAACGACGTGTCCTCCATGTCCACAGAGCCCACCGTGGCCTCAGACACAGACAGCAGCTTAGAGGCCTCGGCGGGACCCCTGAGCTGCTGCAGATGACTATCACCCTCCCCTGGAGTCGCTCTCTGTGTGGCATGGTATCAGATCTAGGCCAGTCTAATACGTTCTTTCGGGTCTGGTTTGGCTTTATTTTGAGTTGCACTCTAGATGCTGTAAATCACTATACAGTTTGATCTTTCTAGCAGCAGCAGCCCTAACAGACCGATGATAGTGAGCTCCTTAACAAAACAAACACTTCTTTTATAAGCTACATGTAGAGTATTTTGTCATGTCGTCGTAGAGTGATTTTTGGAAGGTAATCTGTAAAGATTGAATTGTGAATATATTTTCTCAGATTTATTTATTTTGAGTCAGTTTTTTTCTTCTGGTCAGTGTATTATTTTTGTTTTGGACACTTGGGATATAAAAAACATTAGAAAGTAGTCCATTTTAAAATGGACAACCATATTGCACAGAATAGATGAAGTTGTAGTTATTTAAGTACGTAACTTGCTTGAGGTGGCTTTCCTGGTTCACGATTTCCATCTTTGTGCACAGCATATTTGATTTGACTTTTGTACAGTTTCGTTTAGAGAACTTGCAACATCGAAAAATATTTTTATATGTACATTGATTTATTTTAGCAGGTCGTTCTTTTGTTTCATGAATAGTTTTGCTGCTGGTTAATTTCCTGGTTGACTGTGAAATGTGACGTACATGTGCGTTTCCGGTGTTCTAGTTGTTCTAGTCCTAATAACCTAGGATTTCGGCACCTTTTTAAAAAGAATTATTTAAAGTTTTCCCCCTTCAACATCTGTGATTGTATGTTGCATTTTACAGTTACTATATTTATTTCGGCTCTTTTATATAAAGGCTTGTTCAGTCAGACTTTTTCTGACAAATGCTTTTATTATTCTTATTCAGAACACCAACAAAAGCATCTACACAGGTTCATTTCTATATTTCATTAGAGTCATTAAGCTACTTGTTTATTTATTTTTTTATATATATAAAAGTGAAATGAACCAAATTTGGAAATCATTTTTGCTTTGTTATTGTATTTTTGTTTCCTCCATTAGATTAGAAGGTCTTTAATGGCATGTAATGTGCCATATGTAAACGAGATCTTCTGTATTGGGGATTGACCTACTGTACGTACAGTGCATCCGGAAAGTACTCACATCGCTTCACTTTTTCCACATTTTTTTTATGTTACAGCCTTAGTCCAAAATTAATTAAATTTGTTTATTTCCTCAAAATACTGCACACAATACCCTATAATGACAATGTGAAAAAAGATTTTTTGAAATTGTTGCAAATTTATTAAAAATAAAAAAGCTTAAAAATCACATGTACAGAAGTATTCACAGCCTTTGCTCAATACTTGTTGATGCACCTTTGTCAGCAATTACTGCCTCAAGTGTTTTTGAATATGATGCCATAAGCTTGGCACACCTGTCTTTGGGAATTTTTGCCCATTCCTCATTGCAGTAAATCTCTAGCTCTATCAGGTTGTATGGGAAGTGACGGTGTACAGCCATTTTCAGATCTCTCAAGAGATGTTCAGTAGGATTTAGGTCTGGGCTCTGGCTGGGCCACTGAAGGACATTCACCGAGTTGTTGTGAAGCCACTCCATTGATATTTTGGTGGTGTGCTTTGGGTCATTGTCCTGCTGGAAGATGAACCGTCGCCCCAGTCTGAGGTCAAGAGCACTCTGAAGCGGATTTTCATTCTTTTCCTCTATCCTCACTAGTCACCCAGTTCCTGCTGCTGAATAAGATCCCCACAGCATGATGCTACCACCACCATGAGCTCAGACAGAGTGACCATCGGGTTATTGATCACCTCCCTGACTAAGGCCCTTCTCCCCGATCACTCGGCTTAGATGGCCTACCAGCTCTAGGGTGAGCCCTGGTGGTTCCAAACATCTTCCACTTATGGATGATGGAGGCCACTGTGCTCATTGGAACTTTCAGAAAAGCAGAATTTTTTCTGTAACCTCCACCAGCCTTGTGTCTCGAGACAATCCTGTCTTGGAGGTCTGCAGACTTTTCCTTTGTCTTCATGCTTGGTTTGTGCTTTGACATGCACTGTCAACCCTGGGACCCTAGACAGGTGTATGCCTTTTCAAATCATGTCCAATCAACTAAATTTATTACAGGTGAACACCAATTAAGCTGCTTAAATATCTCAAGGATGATCAGTGGAAACAAAATGTACCTGAGCTCAATTTAGACCTTCACGCCAAAGGCTGTGAATACTTGAGTACATGTGATTTTTCAGTTTTTTTTTTTATTTTTATAAATTTTGCAAATAATTTTTTTTCACATTGTCATTATAGGGTATTGTGTGTGTAGAACTTTGAGGAAATAAATGAATTCAACCCATTTTGGAATAAAGCTGTAGCATAAAAAATGTGGAAAAAGCGAAGCGCTATGAGTACTTTCCGGATGCACTGTTTGTGCATTTGAGACATTGAATAGCACGAATCTAAAAGATGAAGATATATCAGGGAAGTGGGTTTCTTTTATATTTGCTTTTGAATGTGAACGTGAGAGCAGGAATGTTGGATAGTTGAGGACTGGAAAGTGGGAATCTGAATGTTGTTGACATGGAGTTTAGCCCACTGGATTTATTTGCCTGTGCACAGGGTAAAATAAAGTATTTTGCTATTATTTTATATTATTGTATTATTTTGAAGTGCTCTTAACAGTGGCAATGATTTGAAGCCCTACATCCTTGCCTGTTCTAAACATGTTTTAGGCACGAAAACACAAGAGCCGTTTGAAGGTCGAGTCTGAACTACCTCACACTGACGCCATACAGCTCACATTTTACAAGTATTACTGTAACCTTTATTTCCTTTCATTTATTTATTCAGAAGAATAGGAGTGTTCAAGTGTCTATATAGTTTTAAAGTGTGAATCTGTGAGAATGTACTGTGTGTATGTTTATACAATTTAATGAACGAGTGTCCTTGTTTCGATTAGAGTGTTTTTTGTTTTTTTTTTTTTTTTGTTTTTTCTTCAGCTAATGTGCGGTAACTCTCAAAAGCTGAATGATGAACCATCTTTTGTCAGACTTGACATCTGTGTGAAAAAAATTGATTTGTTGTTTGGAGAAAAAGAGGAAAATGGAGAGGACAAATTCTTATGCCCAGTCTTGACAGATCTTGCATGACCTGCTTAGCATTTAATTTAAATCCTAAATACTGTACAAGAAGTGTAAGATCATGGTGCTGGGTTTATTAGACTACACAGACCGATGCAGTTGTTTTCTGTTAGGATTAGCAGATTACCACCTCATTAGAATGCACTGAACTTCAACTGTTAACATCATAACAACTGGAAAAATGGAAATAAACAGTTGAAAATGGCTTTGCTTGTTTGTTTTACTTCTCTCCAGGAAATTGTTTTCATTTTTTCCCTATTTGTATATGTGACTTCACCACAAAAGCAGTCTTAAGCCTGGTTTATGCTTCTGCATCGAGAGATCGGCGTGACCCACGGCGCATGCCTCAGCGTGTTGTTGTGCATTTATACTTCTGCGCGCTGTTTGTGTTGCTCTGCAATAACACTTCTGAAACGCTAGCTGGCAGTAGGTGTTTGTTTCCTTGTGTTGAGTTTTTTTCGCTGGTGTTGTGTTTTTTCTGAAAGCTACCTTAATGTAGAAGTAGCTCAAACTTGCTAATTTTGAGGCGGGAACCGGCGGAAGTGCAACAACTGTAATAATAAGGTAAACGCAAAACACAACTTTCCATCTGGAACTCTTTCACGGGACTCGACACTTGTAAACACTTGCTCTAACTGGTTCGGGTGGATCTCAGTCCCACCCACACTCGTCAGCACTACCCAAGCCAGCCAATCACAGAGTCTGCGGTATGCGTCGTTGCGACATGTAGTTACAGTTTTTGAAAAGTGCATGTCAGCCACGGCGAGGGGTATGCGGCCATGCTCAGGCTGCGCACAGCATACCCGTGCGCTTGACGCATTAGTATAAATCAGTATTTATGGGAATGCATTTGGTAATAGCTAAAATGATAGACTTTTCTTTTATGCCAAAATGTTTTGGGAAATTAAGTTGAATCATGTTCCACAAAGACATTTTGTAATGTATCAGAACAGATTTTTTATTAGTGATGTTCATTGGTAAAAACTTAATTTAGACAATCTTAAAGGCAGTTTTCTCAATATTTAGTTTTTTTTTTGAACCTGCAGATTACAGATCTTCAAGTAGTTGTATCTCAGCCAAATATCATTTTATAACAAATCAATTTTTATAGCGCTTATTTGTTCAGCTCTCAGATCATGTAAAAGCTCCGTTTAAAAGAAAAAACGGTCATTTCCAGACTCTTATTTTTCTTTTTTTTACTGTGAACTATTTTAAGGCAATTATTGCTGCTTTCTACATATATTATTCAAGACTAAAGGAAGAGTTTAGCCATAAATACAATTTTGCCATGTTTACACACACTTGTATTGATGAAAGGAGGTAAGATATTTTTAAAGGAAAGAAAATCCATATGAATTTGGTGGTTTATTCTAAGTCTTATAATATGCAGCAAAATGCATCAAAACAACAATGCAGATGTTACAATGTTATTTGAAATATTAAGTAGACATGACCTACATGTATTGTACTTTGTAAAATCACTTTTGTCCAAATTGCACAGATGTTTGTTTTTCTTTAAATTTTTGATGTAAAAAAAAAAAAGTTTGATAGAAGACATCCTGAATAAAAAGTGTACACCACTGCGATCAGTCAGTATATTCTTCAATTTTAATATCAATCATAATCCCACTTCAGAGTTTTCTTGATGCATCATACAAAGTTACAACATTGCAGTTTTGATGACAACTGCAATTTATTCCAAAGACTAGTCAGTTTTTATCTGAAATAAAAACCCTTTTTTTATTTGGAAACCTCTACTTTGGCACTTTCTGCATTCAGGAATCAATCAAAAACAAAACAATAACATATGTGCATATTGAAATAAAACACATTCAAGTATATGTCAGCTTTAGTTCCATCATCTATTTTATATAAAGACACTCATCCATCGTGAGTGATTTGAAAAAATGCCACCTGAGAAATAGTTCTAGGTACATTAATAAGCTTAGATAAATACTAGCCTTGGCAATCCTCCAGCTGAAGAACAGGTTAATGTAAAAGATTGAACACTTGGGATGGTGTCACCTCATCTATTTTTGAAAAAGTATTTGATCCCATAGTGCATTTTACTTCCAATAAAGGGACTTGCTGAAAGAGTTGGTGAAGTTTGTAATCTATATGAGCCTGTGTGACTTGACGTCTTTGTCTGGTAGTGTGAGGCACAGTGTGATAAGATGCAGCTTGTGTATGGTAATGACGGTGACAAATTCATCAAAACCTCAGCAGGACTACTTTCTTACCATGCATTAACAGGAAATGCCATTACCACGAACTGCCAATATCGCAAAACAGTCAGAAAAGTCATGCTTTGGTATTATCAGCTTATGCAAGTGATGACTACTACACACACACAAAAAAAGGATTTTCTCAGTTTATTTGAGGGAATTGGTTGCGAACAATTTATATGAGCTGAATTTAAAGAAGCAAAAATTAGCAATGTCTAACAGCTCATTTTATCTGTAACACTGTAAGCTATGACATCGACTTTTTACTACAAAGATGCAATTTTTTTTAACTTGTAAGTAACATGGAAAACAACAGGTCACCTGCAGAATTGGTGACATAAACAAATTCGATGGAATGTTGTTCTGTGGACTCTTACCTTTCAAAATAAACCGTGATGTGCAGCAATAAATGCGTGTGTCTTGTCACGATGTTACTCCATATGTAAATGGCGCTGGCTAGAGGACCCTTTACACAAGACTGTTATGGCGCGTTTAACGGTCATCATCTTAAATCCTTGAAAGTTTTTACTGTTTTGATTTTTAATAAAACGTAAGAACATTTATAAGTGTTTATGAATGTATTATATCCTCTTTGCGTCAAATTACAAAAAAAAAAAAAAAAGAATTATCGCTTGTGCGAGGTGTTTTTAATGCAGCATCTATGGATATTTACATTCGATGTCACCTACGCTATTGTTGTCTATTGCAGTGGTTCCCAACAGGGGGTCCTAGCCCACAAAGGAGCCTCAGCAAACTCAGTGGGGGGTTGCGTCTAATTTAAAGATTTTCTTAGCAGTGGACATGTTGCCTTAGTTATTTTATTACCTAGCTCAGTGGTCCTCAACCACCGTCCGCGCCATGGACTGGTATTGGTCCGTGGATCAATGGTACTGGGCTGCAGAAGAAATCATTAATTATTTCCATTTTATTTATTATCTGAGTCTGAATGATCTTTTATTTTGAAAAGTCTTATTTTGAAAAAATGACCTTATTCTCTGGCTTACATGTCATTCACTTGAGCGCCCAAATTTAAACCACAAGCAGCAAAATGAGTAAGGAACAGACGTCCTTGGAAAGTTTCTTTCTTTGCTAAGGGGAAATGGAACGACCCACGAACTGCCAGCGAATAGATTCGCAACCCATTTGTCAACAAATCAGGTGAATCCACTTCTATCATTTTATATTTTACATTAAGCTATTATTTGTGCATAAACAAATCTATAGTTATGTACACACCCTTTGCCTGAAAACAAAGTTTTTTTGTCATCCTTACTGCAAATTTATATCAGCTATATTATCATTAAATGTGGAGGGGGCCTTACAGTATTTTTCAGGGAAAAAGGGGGTCTCATGCAAAAAAAAAAGTTGGGAAATATTGGTCTATTTGAAGAAATGTATCAATTGAGCTGCCATTTTAGTATAGGGTAGCGCTCCTTTGAGTTGAATGCGGGACCAAGATGCAGTGGAGGACTGGCCATCCAGAGTCAGAGATATACACAAATATACATATATCTATGATCGCGAGTGTTCCCGGTGGTCAGTATGCAAATATTTTTTTAAATTCAGAAAATTATATTTCTACATCATTTTTCTACATGGATGAACAAGTGAGCTCATGCCATTGCCGACAAAGAGCATGTGTTTGTGTGCATGGAAATGTATTTTCCTACATTCCTATTAAATTTGATCTCATATGTGTCTTGAAACACCCCCTCTTCTGCTTTCACTTCTTATTCTAACTGAGGGAGCGATTCATTTGCGAATGAATTTCCGTTATGAACGACCAGTTCACTTAACCGACAATAATACCAGTTTCTAGCACCACAGCATCTTTTTGTCATATTTCATTTACAGTTTGCTTATTTTATTCAACAAAACTAGCAAAAGCAGAGTATTTAGTGCGAGTTGATGCAACTTTGCCTTATGATCAGGGCAGTAAGTGACTGATAATAACGTTACTTGTTGAGCCGAAAAGTTTGTTCCATACAAAAATATAAATGAAATCGTATCTATGAAAAAATCTGCCTTTATGATTTTTCTTACTTTTCTCTTTACTACACCCGAACATAGCGCTTCAGTCCAGCATCTTCAGATTGGCTTTAGTCCTGACTAGTGCGGTTGAATGACATTTGTCCTGGGAGCACTTTACAAATGTGGCAGGGCTATTGACACTTGCTCAGGGTCCGTATGCAATACCTAGTGTATATATCTATGTGCAGCATCTATGGGGCTGAGAGTAAATTTGAGGTTTAAGCTTACCGAACTATGATGACTTCCGCTACTGAGAAACCCAGAAATGTGAAAAGGGTCAATTTGTTTGTTTTAAGAGTTCACACAAGACATTGCTTGATAATATTAGCAGGTTTTACATGCTGTCCCGGGAGAGAACCCTGAGCTCTGAGATAATTGAGTCAATGAGCTTGTGAGGGGGTCCGAGATCAGGTAGTTCTCAAAAGCTTCCCCGTAGTAAAGGAGGAAAGGTGGAGATGGGGTGGATGGGGGGATTCCTCAAAAAACAAAGATGAGGGAGTGATGCTAGTCGGACTATTTATAGTGAGTTTGGAATGATCCGTTTGGCTTGCTAAGGATTAAAGATTACCAGCCGCGATCAATCATATCACATGCTCCTCTCGGAATTAGTTTGTGAAGCTTTCAATCAGTATAAATTGTTTGCAACCACTTACCCTAAAAAATTGAGTAAATCCAATGAAAATTTATTCAGTGTAATAACTGGACTGAACCTTAAAGGCATAGTTCACCCCAAAATAACTTGTCATTATTTACAAACAACAGGGGCAAGTTTTCAGATTTTGTTAACATTGGTTTTTCACACAAAATATTTTTTGCTGTTTGTTTTTTTTGCAGACAAAACAGTTTATAGCTTGAGAACAAAGCTAAGTATAAATAATCAGAGGATTTGTATTTTTGCGTGAACTATCCCTTTAAAACTGTAAGTCTGAGGATCAGAGAGAAAGGTGAAAAATGCTACACATAATCAAATTGCCGTTAAAAAATAAAACAAAACAGCACAAAATGACCTCTGAGTACCCATGATGCATGAGCAACGAGATTTTGAAATTCTATCTACAACAAACACAGAAGTCTCTCCGAGTTAAATAAGCATGGCTGCCGGTCAAATTTTGCTTGTTCTTGTTCCCAGTGTAAGATCCCCCAGAGTGGAGAAGAACTCCTCCATCTCGTTCTGGAGCAAGCGGTTGCGGGTCTCTGCGTCCTCACGAGCACGTTCAGAATTTCGCAGTTTAATTTCCAACATGCGATACTTCTTCTTCTCCTGGTCCATCTCCTCCTCCAGCCTTTCCATTTGCTTGTGCAAAGCGGCACTTGATTCCTCTAGCCTTAAAAAAGAAATTATATCAGATCCATTTTAAAAGTATTGCCAAATATGTTGTGCTATTGTATATTACGCTATTCATTTTCTCCATTATTAAGGAGAAATTTTGTTTTACAATTGAAGAGTTTAGATCAGGAGTGCCCAAACTCTGTCCTAGAGGACCGGTGTCATAGAGAGTTTAGTTCCAACCCCAATTAGTCACACCTGAACCAGCTGATCAAGCTCTATCTAGGTATACTAGAATTTTCCAGGCAGACGTGTTAAAGAAATTTGAAGCTAAACTATGCTGGACATCAGCCCTCCAGGACCAAATTTGGGCACTCTTTGCTTAGATGCAAAAACCTCTAAACGGCATTTGATATTTAAAAATAAAATTATGATAAAATTAGCATTTTTCTGCAACTCATGTGTGTAGACTCCCTAATTTTACTTTTATAGAGACAAATAAGTTATTTTAATTGTATTCAAAGTTAAATAACTGAGCGTAAACATGTGAGGCTGAGAAAAATTTTAGGAGAACATTTCAGATGGCTTTTAGAGGCAAAAATGGATCTCTGATTTTGATTATTAATTCTATATGTTTTTGTTAAATCCATCTATTTATATTAATCAGGGTGGGAATTACAGGTTTTTTTTTGGGGGCTCTGACCCGCCTAATTATCGCTTTATCCCCCCTGAAGAACATCAAAACAAAATATATGCGGGGGATAACAGATAACGTAAATATACATTTGACCATCTTTATAATAGTTCATACCATTGTCAATGCATGTCTGTACCAAAAATATAAATTTAACCAGCAAATCCAGGCAGCGTAAGTGTTCACAAAATGTTATTGCAAAATAGGGGTTTGTACTGTAACTATCTGTAAAACTAGATGCATAGTTTGTATTTTATTATACACTGGCTGGCAACCCGGTGGCGCAGTAGGTAGTGCTGTCACCTCATAGCAAGAAGGTCACTGGTTCGAGCCTCTGCTGGGTTAGTTGGCATTTCTGTGTGGAGTTTGCATGTTCTGCTCACGCTCGTGTGGGTTTCCTCAGGGTGCTCCGGTTTTCCCCACATTCAAAAGACATGCGGTACAGGTGAAATGGGTAGGCTAAATTGTCCGTAGTGTATGAGTGAGTGTGTATGGATATTTCCCAAAGATGGGTTGCAGCTGGAAGGGCATCTGCTGCATAAAACATTGGCTGGATAAGTTGGCAGTTCATTTTGCTGTGGCAACCCTGGATTAATAAAGAGACTAAGCTGAAAAGAAAATGAATGAATGAATATACACTGGCTCGCACATGGAAGTTAAACAGTAAAATAAACAATATGTGCAGTCTTTCATGGTCATCCATTAATAGGTGTAAGAATGCAAACCTGTCACTGTATATTTAATATCACAATTGCCATTTAGCCATTTAATATCCCTCAAAATAGTTTCATTAATAATTTAGATCCAATTGAATTAAAAATTTAACTTTGATTCATATTACCAAACAAAACCGAAAAACTTAAACCCATGATCATCAATGTATAATTTGCACCCTGCAACTCTTCTCTTTAAAACCAAAAAAAGGTGTAATAGCTGAAAAACTACATTACCCATGATGCAATTATCTACGCTTCTAGAAAACACTTTACACAAACAACTTTAGATGAACAGTTTTATATATTCTCCGTCATTTGTTTTCTTTTCTACCAAAAGATTGTAAATTAGATCCAAAGCTGTTAAGTTGGCTAGATTGTTGTCCCTTTGTCTTTTTTCTGTATTATCATATATGTCTGTGCTCCAAATCAAAATTTGTAATGTTCTGATTCTTTTTTGTGGCTGATTGGTTTGGTTTATGGCTTTGTTTTATAATGCTTTAATGCATTTTATTATGGGAAAAATCATTAAATAACCAGCACTGCAGAATAAGTGGGTTTACACTAAAGTACTTTATTATAGTACTCTCTATTGCGACAGATAACCATGCCCCTAACTCATACCAAGCACCATTGGTCGAGCTATTGTATTCCTTAAAGTTTGCACAAACTAAGTTAATAACACTGTTTTTCAGTATGCTGACATATATCCAACAGAAATGGAGGTGGAGTTGGGGGAGGGGCTTTCTTTTTGTGCATCATTTTCTCAGCAAACTAATGATAAGAGGGGTATGGTTAATAATATTGTGGATAAAGTCATCAAACTGATGTCAACAGAGAAGGACCAAGTCCAAATGCAGAATCAAATGCTCAGACTTTGATTAAAATTCAAGCAAAACATTTTCTTTTCAATGAATTAACTTGCACAGATTCATTGTTAACATTAAGACTAAAAATGTGTGCTTGCAAAATAATGATTGTAAATTTGGATTTCACACAGATTTTAAAGACATCAATTTGACCAAAAATCCACATCCTAAATCCCACATCCTACATCTCATACTACATTGTTTTGTTTAAAAACCAATTACACACATATATTCATCACAACATGAATGAAAATACATTGAAATAGTTAAAGGATTAGTTCACCCAAAACTGACAATTCCTTTATCCTTTACTAAGCCTTTACTTGTCACAAACCTCTGAGTTTCTTTCTTTCTTTCTTTCTTTCTTTCTTTCTTTCTTTCTTTCTTTCTTTCTTTCTTTCTTTCTTTCTTTCTTTCTTTCTTTCTTTCTTTCTTTCTTTCTTTCTTTCTTTCTGTTGAGCACAAAATAAGTAACCATTGACTTCCATAGTATTTGTTTTGTTACCGGTTTGTAACATTCTTTAAAATATACTATTATTATATAACTCTTAAAGGTTTGGAATCATGTTGAGGGTGAGTAAATAAATTTTTTTTGCTAAAAGTCATTTTCAGAATGATGATAAAAGTGCAACTCCAAAACCTGGCTAGCTCAATTCATTGATTAATTAAATTTCCTTCAGCTTAGTCCCTTTAGTCATCAGGGGACGCCACAATGGAATGAACCGCCAACTTATCCAGCATATGTTTTACATAGCGAATGCCCTTGCAGCTGCAACCCAGTATTGGGAAACATCCCTACACACTTATTCACACACACACACACACACACACACACACACACACACACACACACACACATAACACTACAGCCTATTTAGTTTATCGAATTCACCTAGACTGCATGTCTTTGGACTGTGAGGGAAACCGGAGCACCTGGAGAACATGCAAACTCCACACTTGGGACTTGTAGCAGTGACCCTCTTGTTGTGAGGTGACAGTACTGAGCCACCGTGTCGCCTGGTGAGCTTAACTGAATTAGCTAAACTTCGCCCTGTAATGTGTCAAGATTAATACATATAATCAATGTGCTGTGGATGTCAAACATACCTTCGTATTCTGGATTCATAGTTGGCCTTCTGTTTCTTCAACTCGCCTTTCAGCTCTGTTACCAGGCTGTTAAGTGCTGTCGTGCTAGTGTCATTATCTTCTGTGACGTTTCCCTTATCTTCAACATTTCCATTCTCGCTGCATCCTGCACTACTTACACACATTTCCAGTGCCTCGCTGCTCTCTGTGACCTCTGAACTCCTGTCTTCACTTTGCCCTTGGACAGACCAGTCCTTAACCGAATTCAGTCCTGAGGGGTCACTGCCCACAGAGCCGCCCACTAGGATCTCACACGAGGATGTGGACCAGGGTGTGCTGGCAACGCTGGGAACACTGAGACTGGATGAGGTTACATTGTCATAAGTGGACAGACGGTGCGATAAAGCTGAATCCTTGCCCATGCGCTCTCCTGATGACGTACGCCGGTGGCTGCGCAACGAAGAAAGGCCGTTCATCAACCAGTTGCCTGTACTGGGCAAAGTGGACACATCTACAGATGAGCCTCCGATTTTTGCAGGCTGAGCTCGTACCCCTCCGCTTTTGAATGAGTATTTCCAGGACGGGAGGGATTTCACCTGTTTGCTAGGGCTGACTGTCAGTCCGACTTTTCCCTGAGGTGTCATTTTGGCAGTGGTGGGAGCAACCATATTGATATCTAACGATGTGGCACTGCCGGATACACTTTCTACCACTTTGGATATCTGACTCGGCGATGAGCAGTTCAGCAATTCCTCATCAGAGATCCACTCCACCATGCCACGCTGGCCTCGAGGACAGCTTCCAGTGTGGTCAGAAGACACATCTCTCTCGTTCCCCACATACAGACGTTCATGTTCACTGATCAACACCGTCATCAGTTGTTGCACCTGGGTGGTTCCTAAAAACAGATTTAAATTTCTTAGATATGAGTTTCTAACTCAGTGTTGTTTAAATCTGCTCCTCAGGGGCAAATATGGGATGATATTAATAACAACCAGCTCTAACACACTTGGAATGGAAACAGTTTCTGTCAAAGTTGTACTGCAGAGAAAGAGACCAGGATGAATGTCTATGGACGAGAGGCTTCACTATGCTGAATAAACAGCTTTTACATTTAGTCATTTAGCAGATGCTTTTGTCCAGATGAGCGACTTACAATTGAGGAGGCATTCAGTGATTCAACAAGAATAGGAAATACACACAAGAAGTGCTAGTTATACAAAGAAATATGTTTGTGCTCAGAGTATTTAGTGCTAGAGTAAGAGTGCTTTATTTTAGAGAGCGTGAGGGAGAGAGAAAGTTCTTCTAGAGGTGGTCTTGGTTTTATTCACCAAGGTTGAGGCCATTTGAAGGAAACCAGTGAATCTGCAGTCTATGTGGGAATGGGAAGATCATTCCACCAGCGTGGAACATTGAATGAAATGTTTCTCGGTTTTTCTGGGACACGGTTTATTTTTTTGAGAAAAGGTTGTTTGAAGGTTCTCTATTAGTATCAAGGGGTACATAAAAAAACCTTTGACATCCATTGGACTTTTTTAATCCACAAATGGTTCTTCAGAATGTTAAAATGCTAGTAAAAGTTCTTGTAGCAATCACTTAAAAAATGCTTCCTTGATGAACTAAAATGGTTTAGATCCTCAAAGATCTTCAGCTTGTTTGCCTTTAAGTGATGTTTTAAAAACTAATTTCCAGAGTAGCATGTGATATGATTGATCGCGGCTGGTCTCTCGTCTGCAATCATCGATAAACCAATCAGATTAATCCAAGTCTACAATAAATAGCCCATTTCACCTTTCTTCCCTTATCTTAATTTTTTGAAGAATCCTCCGTCCACCCTATCTCCCCCTTTTCCTCTTTTACCAGGGGAAGCTCTCATGCTAAACGACCAGGCTGCAGCCCTGGGCTCAATTATCTCCGAGCTCAGGGTTCTCTCCCGGGACAGCATGCCAAACCTGCAATTAGCATTAAGCAATTTCTAAGTGTGAACTTATAAAACATCTTGAAACCTTTGAAACATACTATGTTAGATTGACCTGTTTTAGACGAACATTTTTATTGTATGTTAGAGCAGTAACTGTCAATTTTGTGACAGGTAAGGTCATTCATTTCTATGGTATCCACAAACAGTAATTGACTGTTTTGAAACTGTTGCTGTTTTGAAATGAACAACTCTGACAGAAAATTCATTGATTTTAGATCTGCAATGTAAGGGAGACCTGATCAAATTTGGCTTTTTTACTTTATTCAGTGGTAGAGCTATGGTCCCTTGTATCTCCCAATCATTAGACCATTTCTAACTATGTCCCAATTCACAGGCTGCATCCTTTAAAGGCCACATTAGAAGGCTGACTGCATCACTGTAATGTGACGAAGGCTGTCTCAATTTTGAAGGCTCCTTCAAACATGGCCTCCAAATGCATCCTTCATTTCCCGGGCAGTCAAGGATACAGTCGACAAATCCTTCATGTCCCAGATTATCCTAAGATTAATTGTTCACCTGTAATGGTGATGTTTTTCAGAGAATGGCCAGATTGTAGTTTAAGCTTACTCTGGTCATATTAAAGTAAAACAAACACTTTAAAATAATTACAAACATACCCAGGTGAACGTATTTAGACTCTACTTGGCCTCCTCTGAAAGATGTTTTCTTTTGGGATGCTGTATCTGGTTTTATTAAATCTAAAGACCTTATTTAGCTAGTTCAGGTGTGTTTAATTAGGGTCAAGCTAAACTCTGCAGGTCAATGCCTCTGCAGGAACAGATTTGGACCCCATTTTTATAGCTGTACAAATTACTAGTATATCCGTACTAACCTTCCATCATTGAAACAGGGTCCTCTATTTTAGGCCGAAGGATATTTGGTCCAAAAACTGTTGCAAGGTTCTGAACGCTCATCTTGTTCTCATTTGAATGTGATTGCACCTCATCTAAGAATCTACATGAAGACAGAGAATATAACATCTCATTCATATAAATCAATAAATTAATTGTTTCAAAACCATAGACAGAAAACCGATTGGATGTTGATATGTTAACTTACTTGCAAATGTACTTTAACAAATTATAATTAGCCTGAGGAAGAGTGCTGACCTGCTTCACAAGCTCACCCAGCCCCTTTAGGACGCACACACAGGAACATAATTAGAAATGCAGAAAACAAGGTGAAAAAATGCAGTGATCTTTTATGAAACCTAATCTCAAAGACATGCAGCACCCTCACCATTTCTTCATCTTTTAACAGAAGCTGTGCACAGGTAAGAAAGTCCTCATATTTGTTAAAGGGGATGACAGGCTCGGGCAGCTCTCTGAGGTAGAGCTTCAGTAGGGACGCCACTGTGTGAACGTCAGTGTTACTGCAAGAGATCACACACACACACACACACTCAAGTCAGGGGATGCAGTTTAATTGTCCTGACCAGCTGAGAGTGGGTTAACTGTCCCAGCACACACTGACAAGCACTTAATCAGCTTAAGCCAGCCTAGATATTCTGTACTGTAGATATATACTGAGGTGGAGTTGAGAGTTTTCTACAGTGTACAAAGCATACTTTTATCAAATGGGCCAGTTTAGTTGCAAGTTGTACTGTAATAGTACATTTAAAGTACTATTCTTAGTGCATTAAAGGGTTAGTTCACCTAAAAATGAAAATTTACTCACCGTCAAATGGTTCCATAGCTTTGAATTTCATTTTAGAAGCCGGTAACCATTGACCTCCATATTAGGAAAAACAAATACTATGAAAGTCAATGGTTACAGGTTTTCAATATTTAAAAAAATATATTTTCTTTTTTTTTGTGATGAAAAAAATAAATACAAAAAATTTGTTTGGGACAAGTGAAGGTTGAGTAAATGATGATAGAATCTTCAGTTTTAGGTCAACTATACCTTTAATGTTGTACACTTACTACATTAAGTTTATTTAAAATACTTTAAAAATAGCAAAACTTGAAGAATAACTAATTTGTAAGGCTAATCAAATCAAATCATGTTTATTTAAAAAAAAAAAAAAATTATAACTTAAAAAAAATCTTATTTAGCACAATTTCACTGCAAAAAAATGCTTTTCTTGCTTAGATTTTTTGTCTTCTTTGTAGTCCAAATATCTAAAAATTCTTAATTCGAGATGAATTTTCTAGACAAGCAAAACATGTTGCCTTGTTTTAAGAAGTAATCTGCTAATATTATGTGAGAAAATCATTTTTTGCAGTGTTGGTGTTTTAGTTCAGTTAAAAAAGTTAATTAGCTATGTAATGTTTGCTAAACCTGTGCAATATCTTGGCAATATGCACTGCAAAATGATAAATTGTTTGTGGTATTCTAAGTAGTTTTGAATAAAAGTATCATTTGGACGTTTTTCTCTTGTCGTACCTGTCGAACAGAGGCTTGTCTCCACAGTCAAAAGCATCTTGAAGTTCTTTGACCAGGTTGGCTTGTCCTGGCATCCTAAAGAGACCCTCCTCTTTCAGACCCTGTTCCCGTATGAAATCCACACACTGCTCCACCAACAGAGGGGCCAGTCGAGGTCCAAACTTCCTCTCATACTGTACTGTGTCTTCCAGATGTTGACCAAAAATTCCTACGACAACACAAGCACCAGAGAAACATGGTAATATTTAATATTACCTATGTATAATATATGTAATATATACATATATATAAACCTGCCATAATATCAAAGCAATTACTATTACAAAATCAAGGTAAATTTACAGTATTCAATCCTACCTCTCAATATATTGGATCTGCCTCGTATACTACAATCTTCAGCAAGCACACATAAGTCATAGTGAGCAAATAGACAAGAGAGAGCTCTAACTTCAGGCATGAGACACATGACAGATCCCTGTTGGCACAGGCAGCAGTCCACTTCAGGCACAAGTGAACACTGATGCATGAGAATGACTGTGTGTGTGCAGCCGATCAGATCACACTCACACCTGCTATTGCCCTTTCATTGTACTGGTAATTCAGTCTCACAGTGCATGGAGAGAATGTGGGATGAGCGTAAGTCATTACACAGTATCATATTGCTTAACCCATTCTTTCACCATGATGTCTTGATTATAATTATTTAGCCTATACAATTCTTTATAGAGACATACTGTTGAGGGTGACGTTTAATGACAGCATTGTGGCTTTTTAATATTTGTATCACAACACATTAACTTTTTGGACTATTTTTATTTTCTGTATTAAAGTAATAATTATTTTGTTTTATTTATTTATTTATTTATTTATTTATTTTTTGATAGGTTACGGTAAATTAAAGGGGACCTATTAGGCAAAAATTACTTTTATAAGGGGTTAAAACACAAAAAGGCTTTCATAAAAACGCTGTTCACACAGTCCAGAATTTTTTCGGAAAAGACCATTTAAACATCCATTCCAAAATACAGGTAAATTCTGGCATCATTAACCAGAAATTACCTATAAACTGCTGCACTTGTATTTGTAAACATAGAAGAGGTCTGCCTTTTCTTGATGATTTCACTTTTATTTAAAGCTTTAGCATTCATGCAGCTGCTTTGTGAGACACCCAAAGGCAGAAACGAGAACCACAGCTAAATGTTTACAAACATGACTACATTACAAATGATGTGGATGGATAAGTATTGTGAACAACTTATATGAAAACATATGGAGGAACTCTTTCACATGTCGAAATGTTCATAATATGTCTGTGTGCTGGCGCTCACTGGCTCCTTCATGCGCACACATGTCAAGCAACTGAAGGAAGCAGAGCTTGAAGGTGAAAAAACAGCAGTTTATCATAAGCATATCGATCATTTTTGACACCATTGGCATTAAGAAGGAACTAGAAACTTTATCTGACTAACATCTAGCAGCTAAATGTGTCTGAAAATATATTAAAAGGGTTTTATTTTCATAAACCATGTGGATGTGAATTTGTCTGAGTGTTCTGATTGGCTGGAGTAGACGTCTCACGTCAGTGTGTTCTAGACATAAACGCGCTCTTTTTGGCAATTTTCCTTCTGCGTTCACACAGAGCAGCATTCCAGCAAATTACCGGTTATGTTACAACTTCTCTTTCCGAAAAATTGCCGGAACTAATTTACTGGCATTTTTAAAAAGGGCCTGTTCGCACATACAGACAGGAGTTTTAGGATGCACAGATGAACACTGTAGTCTCCATAGTCTACCTTCTTCTGGGCCACTTCTTTTGACATTTTCAGTTTTTCATATAGATGTTAGTCCTGTTTTGAATCTGTTGATATTGTAACACATAGTCATTTGTAGCTCTACCCCCTTTCGAAAAAAGGGCTGTGAGCACAATCTCATTTAAATTTAAAGCAAGTCACCAAAATGGCACAATTTGGATTAAAGCCTAAAAGAGACAGATTTAAAGGGTAATAAAAATTATAAAAGGTGTGGGGTATTTTGAGCTAAAACGTCACATACACACTCCAGGGATATCAGATTTTAAATTGTGTAAAAAGTGGTTTAATAGGTCTCCTTTAAATTTATTTTAGCACTTTAATTTAAACTTTTTAAAATGAATCACTTCTAATATCTTGCAACATTAAGTGTTTGATTATTTTTATCATTAATAACATTTCAGCCTTATTGTATTTAACAATGTTAGCTAATCATTATAATAAAAAATTGCTGTAGTTATGATTTATAGTAATGTGTTTGAATAAAATTTATTCTGTAGTATAAGACATTTCTTTTAAATTAAATAACTGTTGCCAATAAGTGCTTTTCTTGGCATAAAAAAGGGAATTTTTAAGTACCCCCAAAACTGAAAAGTCTGTAAACATTTATTCATCACTTGTCACAAACCTTCTTTCTTCCGTTGAAATCAAAAGAAGATATTGTGAAAAATGGTGAAAACCTGTAACTTTTATAGTATTTGTTTTTCCTATGGTTATGGTCCTACATGTTTCAAACATCTTTTGTGTTCAACAGAAAAAATAAAGGTTTGAAACTATTGAAACCTTTGAGGGTGAGTAGCCAATATAGTGAGTAAAATTCCATGTTGGGTGAATTTCCATAGCTGTATAATATTATCTTTCTTGCCTGTAGGTAGTGACAGATTTTTGAGAGAATCAAATTTTCATTTAGAAACAAAGTAATGTTTTTCAGGATCGCTACTGGGCTAACTTTTATCTGCAAGCTTATTTTCTTACCAAGTTGGCCTTTTCACTTCACCTGTAGGTCTCTGAGGAACGTGTTGTGTCTATGAGCTAAGCTAGCACTGTATATCATAGGAAATAAAAACTGTGTGGTGGATTTTCAAAATCATTAAATGTATATTTAAATATTTTCCTTTATATTCAGACCCCCCAAAAACCCATTTTATTAAAGAACTGTAACATAATGCCTAAAGATTCAGACACTTACAGGCCGCTAGTGCTGTTGTTATTTTAGTTAGCCTGTATATTAGCCACGCAGCATAAACCAGATATAGATCACTCTACTCAAATAAGACGAGAGTACAAAAACAGACACATGCTTGCTGCTAGTTTTTTATATTGTTTTCTTGAAATCTGCAGAGCCTCAGTGAAACTAATGATTCATTTTTGCCTGTGTCTCTGTGCTTGTGTGGTCCATAAATATGAGTTACCTCCTCCAAAGGGAGCCCAGATGACACGTCTGATGGCTTTGACCCAATCCTCCATGTCATTCTGGGAGTTTGCCATAAGCAGGAAAGCCTCATGGCTGAGAGCCGATCTGTCCTTCTCTCCTGTACAGCCTATGGAGGCAGAGAGGGGATAAAAATTTCGAGTAAATCATTTGATTGACACTGATAACATTTAGTCTGCCTGAGTCCCCTGATGCTTTGAATGACAGATAAATATCAAAACATGAATAATTTTCTTTATTCATTGCGATTGCCCCCACTGTTTGTACAAAGAACACTTTAAATACATTTATTCGTTATATTTTTTGAATCATTAAAATCACATAATAGCAGTTCTGTGGAGTAGTATAATCAATACCTGTTAGTGGCCAGAATAACCAGCTATTTTGTTAGTCGGTTTTATATTATTATCATCAACATGAAAAATACCATTTAGTTGTAACACTAATATATGTATACCATGCATTTAATAAATTAATACTTTTATTTAGAAAATATGGATTGTATTGCCAGCAAGATGAATTTAGAATAAAGTAATAATTATTATTTATATAGTAACTATATTTAGATAATAAACCATTTTAAAGTTGCAGAATATTTATATTTTGAATACAAGCTGTTATGTTATTTCGAAAGGAATCCTGGTATCTTGGTTTACATATTAAATTATAATAATAAGATGATAATAAGAACCTCCAACACCATTTGCATTATATGAATACATCAGATAAAAATACAATAAATATTATAATTTGTTTCCCAGCAACTTGTGATTTTAGCACAACAATTTTTCTAACATTTGTTTATCTCATACAGTGGTTCCCAAAGTGGAGGTTGGGACTCCCTGGGGGGTCGCAGGACAATGACAGAGGTATCTTGGTGATTTTCAAAAGTCAAATAAATTTTATTAAACTATTAGAATTACCATATTTTATCCATAACCCACAGAATATAAAAAGTAGTTAATAATCACATAAAAAGCATGCAAATAAAAAGCCACCAGCCTTTCAATATTTCTTCACAGGATTGTGGGTTAGATTAGATTGTACGTTAGATTAAAAACATAAAAATAGATTTTACAGCACCAGGTTGAACTCTCTGACACCTTTATAGTATTCAAATAAATTGTAATTTGCAGGCCCATACTGAATATTGAGAATGATCTCTGAGTCTTCAAAATTAAACCAAGAATAGACTTGAGCAGAAAACATTTGTGCCCACCAGTCTCATTAGGTCATGGTATTATTATATTAAACAAATTAATAAATTACAGCATATGATTGTTAAACTGTTTCACTTTTTGTGGGTTGTCATGCTCGTGTTTACAGGCCTAATGTTGTGTGTGCAACATTTGTATATTTGTAACCACCAGGAATGTGAGGGTCGCGAGTCACTGACATTGTTATTTTGGGGGTTGCAGGCTGAAAAGTTTGGTAACCTCTGATCTAATAAAATAATTCATAGTACAAAATTTATTATTATTTTATAGTGACCGCATAAAAGTTAACTAACCACTAGATGGCACCACAGCTATACTAAAAATCTCATGTGGGCAAAGTTTGCCTTTATGACATCATTTTTCATTGCAGACATTAACCATGGCTGTTCAGAAGAAAAGTCATATTTCAATTTTAAAATGGAGGACAACAGATGAACTAAAAATTTGCCGTGGCTTTTGGAGAAGCTGTCATCTGAACTTACTGTAAGTTGGAGCTGATTTCTTAATATATTTATATATTTAAATGAACTAAGAGTTCATATTTGCTTGATTTCTTTTAAGATGATTTTCAGAAGCACATCATCATGCCTTGTTAAACTCCTAGCATCATAAAACTGACTCATTTTCATTTCCTTCTCCAAACAGTCATCCCTCACCACCCCCTGAAAATATCCTCAGCATAAATTCTGTTCAACCTAGTTTTTCTGGATGGATGGTTCCATTATGTGTCTGAGCGCAGCTGCAGAATGAGCCCAGTATTGTCAGGTGTCTGTGTGAGACGGCACACGTAGGAGTCCCTGAGGAGATGCTGACTGTCTCTGTCTGCCTGTCTGGAAGATTGTGTGAGCGGATGATGCATTGCCTCTGTGTTTGTGCCCTTGGTTCAGCTGTCTGTCTCTCACATGTAAAGGCAATAATCAAACACCTGACTTTGTGGAGAAGTGAGTGACCTCTTGAAAAAAAAAGACAAAAACTGTTGATCCCTTTTTGTGACTTATCGTTATTTCTGTTTTGAAGTGAGGCCTTTTACTTTAAAGAGCTCCTATTTTACCCCCTTAACAAGTGGTAAAATAAGTCTTTGATGTCTCCATGTGTCTTAACTTTGGATTGTTTTTGCATGTCTGCTTGCAGCAAATGTGGATATCTATTATGCTACTGTACAAAATAAACCAGAATTAACTTCCACTATGCTGCTGTGGTGATTATTTTCTTTATTACAAACATGCACTGTTGTGAAGTGCAGTTGATCACAGAGTGTTGGAACAGATCTTTTAATCCCAGTTCAAATCCTGTTTTGTGTACATGTTTATTCACATTACTGCTTTATGGAGACGTAGACGTGTTAATACACTCCTGGTAATCAATTCAGTAGGTGGAGAAAAGTTGATTATGAATATAGTTGCCCTTTAAACTATGATAATAACATATTTGAATGGTGTAAAATTATATTTGATTAAATTAGTTTATACAAATGTTACAATAATGTAAGATATTATTTTTTAAATCAGGGGTCAACAATCTCGGTCCTGGAGGGCCGTTGTCCCTGTAGGGTTTAGCTCCATCTTGCCTTAACACACTTGCCTCTGTTTCAAAGCACAGGCACACCTGAGGTAATTCACCAGCAGGCGACAAAGAGCAAAATGTGCAAAGAGCAAAGTGCAATCGTGAATGCGTGCCCAATACTGACACAGAAAAATAAACTGTCAAAAAAAGTCATTATTTTTGTTTTATGTGTGCAAAAAAGTAATCTTATAATATTGATAATATGACAATCACTAGCTTACTTTATAAATACGTTCTAAATTAACCACTCTATGTGGTTCAGATTATTTGTTTTAAAGATTTTTTTTATTTTCTGGTCTTTTTTTCTTGTATTTTCATGAACAATCCTAAACCGATGCTGTTCATGGAGGATGGGAAAGCTCTTGGATTTCATTCATTTATTAATTTTCCTTTGGCTTAATCCCTTTATTCATCAGGGGTAGTCACAGCGGATTGAACCACCAACTTATCCAGCATATGTTTTACAGAGTGGATGCCCTTCCAGCTGTAACCCAGTACTAGGAGGAAACATCAATACACACTTATTCACACACACACACACACACACACACACACACACACACACACACACACACACACACACACACACACACACACACACACATACACTACGGGCAATTTCGTTTATTCAATTCACTTATAGCTCATGTCTTTGGACTACGTTGGAAATCGGAGCTCCCGAAGGGAACCCACACAAACACAAGGAGAACATGCAAACTCCACACAGAAAAGCCAACTGACCTAGCCGTGATTTGTACCAGTCACCTTCTTGCTGTGAAGTGATAGTGCTAACCACTAAGCCACCGTGTCACCCTTGATTACAACATTTTAATCCAATTTTAAATACATAGACAGTCATTAATTAATTGAATTAATACTATATTAAATTTAAGTGCTAAAATGAGGGAAGAAAGTATTTGAAGAACCAAGCAGAACATGTTTCACTTTGCTTAACCTGCTGTATTTAGACCAAGAAAACAGTTTGTTTCCATTTACACATATTATAAATTTTAAAAGATGTGAACTTTGATTAATCATTTACGTCCTGCTTCTGCATTTAGAACAAGATTAAAACAATTATGTGTTTTATTTTTATATTATGCTTTTGAATGATGCTTTATGAAAAAAAAAACAAGAAGAGACACAGATCTTTCAGCCATTGCACAGTGTTTATTTACAGGCAGGATTGTGCAGTGGGTAAAGGGTAAGTGGGATATTTTGGGGAGGGACGATGAGCAGCATCACCATCAGATGTAGTTCTGGTGGTGTTTGTTGATCCACAGGTGCTTCAGTTTAGGATCATTTCTGTAACGGTGATACAGCAGCTGTCTTTCTCTTCTCTCCCTCTCCTTCTTGAGTTTCCTCTCCACCTTTTCCTTCACCTTCTCCTCTGCCCAGGTGAACAGAACCATCTGTGCTTTTCGCCTGTTCTTTGGTTCCTCCATGACATTCCCACTGAGATGGCTCTCGCGACCATCAAAAGGAGTCTTGCAGTGCAAAGAGGCATGGGGACTCGAGTCCACAGCTTCACTGAGGTCCTCAAACACTTCACTCGTGCACGATTCATCATCCAGCACCTCCTCCTCCTCCCAGGCAAGAGTCTGTCTCGTCAGTCTGGGTCTTTCGGGCTTGTAGAAGATCTGAACGTTCTCTACAAACTCGCATTCCTCATCTTCAGTGTCAGAAAGCATGAGGTTTAAAGCAGATGCAGCCGCGACAGAAATTGAAGACATTGAGCTGAGAGAAAACACTGGCGATGCACAAGGAGGAGGAATGGGACAGACTGTGCAGAACAGCTCATCTGGTTCAGGAACATAACCTGGAAGCACAGCCAGCTGTTTGGGAGGACCCACTTGATTAGGACACCCTGGCAAGACAAACTCATGCTCAAGTTCTTGCACAGGAATGGGCCTCAGAGGATGCACTGAGGTGAATTGGTGGGAGAACAGCTCCTTTGGTGCAGGAACAGGATGTGGAGGAGCAGTCAGCAGATTGGGCTGGTCCACATAGAGAGGACACCCAGGCAGCGCAAACTGTTGCTCAGGTCCTTGCACAGGACACATTTGTGGCCTTTTCACTGGCGGCAGGGGCTTGAAGCGAGCAGCTGGAAGGATGAAGTCTCCAGAGCCACTGGGAAGCTTTGCAAGTTTTCCCTTAATGGGCTTTAAGACAGAGGGTCTGGCAGAAGTCTGCAGGGTTTTTACCTCGCCATTTTTACCCCCTTTGTGGCGTTTCTTCCTGCACTTGTTGGGATTTGCAGTGAAGGCCCCACTCTCTGAACTTTTATTCACTGCCGCCAGTTCTTGAGCTGCACAGTGCTGTGTTTCCC